TGTGAGATTATCTTCCATTCAAAAGAGTGTGCATTTTTCATCCATTAGAATATTTAATAACTTGCCACACAATATATATTCCTTGAAAGACAATATTAATACTTTTAAACAAAGGCTAAAAGATTATCTTATTTTAAATGCATTTTATTCGGTAGATGAATACATGGCATACAGGCAAGCATAATACATTATTGTTGTCTTTCCAAGATTATGTATCATCTAGATTTGTTATATGACTGCTTTTTATTTTATTATTGTGTTTTTATTTTATAATTCTTGAATATTTTAATTGTTGAGACTAGATTGCATTTTGCAATGTCATTTTGCTGACGAATTCAATATCCAGTCCGGTTCCCGGACAATGGATCTGTGAAATTATGTATCTATGCATGTATGTATGTATGTATGTATGTATGCTCCAAATATTGATTATACTACTATCATCATAATAAGAAACCACTACTTATCCATATAATACAGGAAGCTTTATTACAATATAAGCTGTGGAGGTTATAACATTACCTTTTCAAACTTGAAGACAGAAACCCATAATCATGTGCAACTTTATGGATGAGCTCATTGAGGATGATCTGAATTTCTGTGGCCTTATTGAATTCCTCCCGTGGGAAGGTCGATGGAAGCAGAATAAATGGAGCAAACTGAAGAGAGTCCTTACTGAAGTTCACCTTTGATCTCATACCAGCACCTATCAAATTAACATTACTTATATAAGAATTACAGCAGAATTAAACTATCTGGCTTAGAGTTAGACCAAGTGGGATGCAGATAGAATAGTCAGAGAAATGGGTTGCTTCTGTCTCAACACTGGACCTACAGCTGGTATATGTGTTACCAGTTTCAGCCTAAACAACTCTAGGAGCGCTATTCAGTCTTTCCATGTTTAGAAGTTCTTAAATGCTTTTCTGCCTGAACTGCACTGCACTGCATAAGCAACATGATGGGCCCCAGGGCTGGTTTGGACATTACAGAAAACAGAAAAATCTTTTATCCATGGTGAGAATTGAAACGATTCCACAGCTGTCATGGCCACAGGCTAGTCATTATCGTGAATGAGCTAAACTGCTTGTTACTGCATATGTTTTCTTACAAACAGCATACTAAATGACAATTAAAATAAATATGAGATATTTTATGTCTACTGACCATGCATAAGTGCCCAGTCCTTTGCCTTGTCAACAATATCCTCCAGAATTTCATTTTCCAATGGCAGCTTAATGCATGGTTCAAGTCGATTGGTAGTCATATTGTCACAGTGCTAAAAGCAATAGCTGAAAAACAAAGCACAATCATCAGAAACAGTAAAACATTTGGAAATCCCTTTGTAAAATGCAATCCTGAAAATTTTCTGATATTCTAAAAACAGAATTATGTATGTGCTCAGTAACGAGTACACTTATGAATTCTTAGCACAAAATGCATGAACTGAACATAAAAAGAAAGGGTTGTGTCTGCCAGTTCACACATTATCTTTAGAGTCACTTTGCCAATGGCTTTAAATTATTTTGAATTGTTTCAAAAATTATTAATTATTTATTAATTAAATTAATTTATCAATTATTAATTAATTAATTGCTTTAAATTATATTTGGTATTGATCTACACTAAAGAATAACTGGCGAATTTAATTCCAATTCATACTGGTCTAGCATCCTCAATACATAACCTCAAGTTGAAGTTCATCCTACAAATAACTAGTACATGACACAGAGAGACAGACAGATTATACACAACTTAGGGATCCTGGTTAAATAAACCAGTGTACAAATAAAGACAATAAGCAAGATATAATAAAAAGAAATTTAATGTTTATATAAAGAAGAAATTGCTTACAATTATTTCACATTGTTTCATATACAATTAACAATAAATAAACGCTGTTACTGATTTATATATATACTGGTCCTCTTGTGGTACAACTAAAATGCACAAACTATAGCAGCCTCCCTGAATCACACACTCCAAGTATTATACATGAATGATGCCTTCCAATCACACTTAACAGGCTGACTTCTTAATCCTCTTCTGTGACGAGCTCAGAACTCGTGTCACTCACTGCTTGCTCTACTGTTCGTGTGCATATCTTGTTATCATAGCATTCTTAGAATAGGGTGCAGTTATCAGAGAAAGTCTTCAACTCTGCAATTCTGAGCCATGGCCTGTACTGCATGGAAGATTAACGTGAAAAATATTCAGTCATGATACGAGCAGCCTGATAAACGTACAGTCCAAACACGTAAACACATAGCAGAGGAAAATACCAGCATAGATCTACTTCTACTTCAACAAGTTCCTCGTCTTCATCATCAGAGTCACTTCGCTGCCTTGGCGGTTCCACAGGGATTCTCGTGATAATGTCTCCCCCTGGGTGGTGTCGAACAAGTATGAACTTAACCATCTGTCCATCAACTGGGCAATTATTGTTAGTCTTTGTCCATTCTTGGAGACAGGCAGCACAGAATGTATGGTCACAAGTGTCTGGTGTCCCAACCTCCTGTGTTGTAAAAGTGACAAAGCAAAGAGGACACTTTACTGAGTCCCCATCACTATTATTGTTCACTGATGAGTCTCCAGTGACTTTCTCACCTTCGTCAACACTACCATCCTCATCATCAGCATGTCCCACAGACTCTAATTTGTCACCTTTGCCATCACTGATCTCACCTTTCTGTACTCCTGCAGCCAATCTGTTTAGAGGGCAGTCAGCAACACTGCTGCTACATGCATCCGATTCTCCTTGAGGGTGGCAAGTAACACTGCTTCTGCTGCTAGCATCTGGTCTCTGTGGAGGGCAGTCTGCAACACTGCTGCTACATGAAGCCGATTCTTCTGGAGTGTGGTCTGTAACACTGCTTCTTTCCACATACACAGTCGGACTCTTCTTTCTCAACTTCCTGTCTGATTCAAATGGGATCCTATCACTGTCTTGTCGATGAGTGGATCTCTTCCTCTTTCCTATCTTTGTGTACGCACTCTTAGTGTCATTAATCTCGTTGCTCTCAGCCGGTCTCTGTGGAGGGCAGTCTGCAACACTGCTGCTGCTCACAGCCGACCCTTCTAGAGGGCGGTCTGTAACACTGCTTCTTCTGCTGCTTCTTTTCACACACACAGTTGGACACGTCTTTCTCAACTTCCTGTCTGATTCGAATGGGATCCTATCACTGTCTTGTCGACCAGTGGATCTCTTCCTCTTTCCCGTCTTCATGTATGCACTCTTAGTGTCACTAATCTCGCTCATTGTTTAATCTACTATGGTAAAATATTTTATAAGGTTGAAGAGTCGTTTTCTAATCTTGTTTGCGTTAGATTCCACTCCGCTCTGCAAGCACGCTTCCACCGCTACTACTTCTCTCTCGTAACGCTGGTAACTGAACTAAACCGTCACACATCCCCACTCACTTATATAGCCGAGCAACAGGCAACGAAACGTGGCAGCCACGTCATCCTCTTACGCAACGTAGCGGACAAGTCATCCTGTTACGTGTCAGAGCGCGCGTAGTATTGCAACGGTCCGTCCGTCGCTACGTACTGCTGTTACATCATAGCGATTGCGTTGCATGGCAAAAAAAAACTAACTCCGTGGTTTAATGTTCGTGGCGAACATTGTTAATATTGAAAGATTATTATTCAGCTTGAAAAGGAAAGGTGCTACTAAACAAATGAAAATTAATGACTTTTTTAAAAAGTAGTAACGCAAATTGCACTTGACAGTGGAAATATTATCACTGGTTTACGTTTTTTGATTTAGTTAATACATATAGGCAAATGTGACCGTTTTCATTCATTTTATATAGGCCCCACATCGTTTTCCCGCAACCGTCGGTTTTTTTTTCAGGACCCCCGACGAAAACGATGGATCGAGGTTTCACTGTATACTTTTTACACTACAAAAACTAGAGTTACAAGAAACTTGATGTAATTTGGTAGTTTCTTACATGAATAAGAAACCATTTCACTTTTCATCCAAATACCTCCATTGGTTGCAGAGATACAATGTTCTGTTATCATTCAGTATTTCTATGCCTAACCTGAAAGCAGTCTGCATCACATGAACTTTGGCATTCTGTCTTAAAAGGCGCTGTTATCAGGCAAAATGTTTTTACTTATGTCATACCAAGTTTCATTAAAATAAATAATTCAACTGCCAGACAACATTTATCGATGGAATACCTGATACATTAATTATTTGGAAGCTACCGGAGGTTCCTGTTACCTGACAATATACCATCGGGTTTACCTCAATACCATTTACTCATAACCTACAATTTGGAATTAACCCACACACACACAAACACAACTTGGACCAATGTTATCTATTGCAACGGGCACATAACCTCTTCGCACGACCACATAAGACTACGCAGCCACGAACGGCCAAAAATTACCAATCTCGTGTTCCAGGGAACTGTGCAAAATACCACGGATCAGTATAGCAATACCCCCCCCTCCGCACGGATCACTATACTCTCGGTCACTCACATTCACGCAAAACGGAACTTTGGCCCAGGGTTTACATGAAATTACAAATTAATATTCTTTCATCTTAAGTTTCGGCGAAGCCCACGAAACTCCGCCCATAACGGTACAGTAATGTAAAAGGTAAAGATATAACTAACACCAGACTGGTCACAGTTCGACACGCAACTGAAGCCAGCCAATTTATCCCCCCCACTCAAACTGCTTCACTTTGGGTTTTCCAATTAATCTTTCTGATGGTCAGATTACGTAGTCATATCGAGAGATTCATTGCAACCTTCTCTTTGATGGGCCCCTCACCAAAGCCCCTGAGAGAATTGGTTGATCCCAGATCAGCATAAGACCCAGTAACTGGACACTCTGGCCACGACATAGCTCAAGTGGTTAGTCGCTGGCTTCCCACCGCGGCGGCCCGGGTTCGATCCTGGGTCTGGTCAAGTGGAACTTGTGGTGGACAAAGTGGCGCTGGGCAGGTTTTCTCCGAGTACTTCGGTTTCCCCTGCCAATCTTCATTCCAACAAATTCTCCATTATCATAATCACCTGAGGCAGGCTACAATAGGCCAATCAGTGGCCACTGTGCTGAGTGGACCCAGTTGGACTCCACCCCACACTAAGCGAAACTGGACCCTCTAATGACAGAGGGCCTCTTTGTAGCAACATGAGACCACACAGTTAGGCCCGCCAGTGCAAGGGTAATTTTTCTTCACAGTCATTCACTCTCAACTAACTCAATGTAATTCAACAATAATTTCAATCTCAGCTGCTTTATGGGACTCAATCTGTAATAGACACCTAAAGGAAAAAGCCAAACTGAGACAATGAACAAAGTTAATAGAAAGTCCGTCGAGTGTAACAATTTATAGGTCACTTTTTATTATTATTTCTGCCTTACATGTTTCGGTTTGACACAACCATCATCAGAGGCACTTGCTACAATTATGGAAACACTGTCGCTTTTTTGACGTTCACAATTATGTTTGTCGTGAGGACGCTGCTACAATTAAAAAAAATGAGACAATGAACCTATGGAAGGTATGACTCATGAGCTTCTTATGCTTGATGGTATGGTGCTTTTAACTCTTTCTGTTATTTTCCAAACAAGACATACTACAAATTACCTCCAACTGTAACAATCATGTAGCCATGTTGGCACCTCTCACATTACATTGTCTTTGTTGATATATTACTGGTTTATTATTTTCAGACTTCAAATGCAACATCCCTCTGCACTCTCATTTTAGCATGTGGTTGGTCCCTTCTCTATAAACTGTCCACAAGCTTAATTGACATTTCAGCATGAGAGATCAGTTTTGAAGCAGAAACATCCCCAGTCCGCATGCATACATAAAACATGCTGTCAGAGTTGCACTGGTATGAAGGTCAAGCAAATCAACAGGGAAAGCGGCAGTAAAATTATCAATATCCAGATGTCTATCCAGCAAAAACTGTGGTTAGACCTGCACATGTACCCTTTCAAAATGAGTGCAGTAAAATCAATCAATACAGTAAAGTTTGCTACACAGTCTTATTGTAGAGCCATACTGTACAATGCATGGTATTTGGATATTGAACATTTCCAAATCAACATAACAGTGAATATATAAAATGAGCATAACTGACAAAACTGTGAGCTATAAGCAGGATCTGAGCTTGTTGTGTAACAGGCTTATACCTCAAGTTCTTGTAACTGGTTTCCCTGTAAGTGTACAATGGTGTATGCAGGATTGTGCCACACTGCACACAGTGAATACTACAATCACACAATGAAGTGTTCTTGGGCAATCAGCCATGTCAATGTGAAGTTGGTGTCCAACATTTCAGTGACTGTTTCCAACATCAGGGGTTGATGTGACGAGTGCTGTGTTTGCACACTATATTGATAAATAAGGCTATCATCTGTCTCAGCCCAGACTGTATGAAGAACTGTTGATGAAGTCAGAGAGTGATATCCATCCCAGCATGGGCCATGATGAGAACTGTCAGTCAGGCATCAGAATTCATGTTGCTTGTATTTGGTTCTGCCTTATGTTTTTAAGTGCTGTCATCTGTTTTGTTATGTTCACAGACATGTACTATGAATGACTTAGACAGAATCCCATATGTCTGGCCAAGGGCACACCAAGGAAACTGGCAACCACAATGCAACCGCAATTTCCAAGAATTGTTATTAGACTGAGTTCAACTCATGGAACTGAATGGAGCAGCGCAAATTGAGTAAACAGCAACGATTGCAAAGCAACACACAGAGGACTGAGAAACTCAACTCCCAGGCAACTGAGCAAAGTCAGTCATCTCACAGTTGCATTGTTGCATATTTTCCTAGTGTCAACTCTTCTAACGTGCTTCTGAGATTCATTTGTTTCTTTTGAGAGCATGAAAGGTTGATGAAGCTGCTAATATTTTTTGTGCAGTTAACTGAGCAGGAGCATGGTACATATGATAAATTTCACGTAGACTATGCTAGGCAGGACAAAATAAATTTGGCTTGGGAAAGAATTTCTTATAAGACAAAGGAGTCTGGATCCTGGTTAAGTTCTTCTGAAACAATAAAAGCACCTGACTTTTAAATTGTCATGGAAGAACAGATGAACCCAATGTTTCCTTTTCCTAATATTTATTTGTATTTAATCATCCTGTTGCAATAATATATCATTTCTTTCACATGTATTTCTGTCTTAAATGCAACTTATTATCTAGTCACCCTTCTTTCACATTACATGGTTCTGCTGTACATGACCATCTTCTTGTTAAAATTGTTGCACTGCATGCCAAAATTTTGTATCGCATGTGAACATGATGTTTCCTGATTAAAATAAACTGAACTTAATTAAAACTAAATAAATTAAACGTCTATATATTCAGTCCATCAATAATGCAACAATCATTAAAATATTCATAATTTAACACTGTTCTAATACTAATAATATTTTAATGATTGTCATATTATTGATGGACTTAATACATAGATGTTTAATTAAAGATGTGCAACAGGATGTTGAAATACAGAATTACTAATTCAATTAATTAACATATCAGTGTTTTCCTCATGGTGGTCATCCTCTCTCCTCATACCATCTCAACCACCACTATACTAAGAAAGGATCAGTATTATTATCTGCCACTACAGAAGGTAAGTGCATGAAATTAAAAATTACAATCACATATTATGTCAGAAGAACACACTCACTTAAGAGGATGTGAGTAACTAATCAAACATATGTTTCCTTAGTGAGCACCTGTTAATCTGGAAACCAGCTACCTGCTTGAAGTTGGTGACGTTTCTCGGAAATTGCGATTGCGTTGCGGTTGCCAGTTTCTTTGGTGTGCCATGGCTTTTAAAGTTAACAGAGTGCAACTGGACCCCTTAATTATGCAGTCAATTCTTGCCAGTAATGTGGTATCCTTATAGTTTATTTGATGCTTCATCTTGATTCTGTGCTCTGCCATTGTTAACTTATGTGGCTGGTAGTCATGTGTGCCATGCACAATCATTACATCTTGTCTCGATGGTGCAGCCCACCTATTCAACATACACTTTTCTGCACTCACATGTGACCCTTTGAAATGTCTGATACCAACTTCACATTGACATGACTGACTGGCTAGAATGTCTTCAATACAATGATAATGCAGCATCAGAAACTGTAGCAGATATTTTGTAATGAAGCTGTACAACTCTAATTCCCTATTTTGGGTAGTCATGAACAAAAAAATTCTATAAAGGCATTTAAACAGTATGTTTATTATATATTACTATCTATTCTCCTTTATATTTTAGTACCTATTATGACAATATCCAGTGACATTTTAGCATTCAGTAATGAAACAGGTTATAAATAAATAACTTTCTTAATTTTTGTGATTTTCATTATTTTTTACTTCACAGTCATGAAATATACAAAGATGAAACTTTCATGTCCTGCCTTCTGCGCCTTGGTGCCCAAAATTAAAAGTATCAGTAATAACATACTGTATTCTTTCGAATATAGGACTCACATTTTACCTATTTTTTCACATTGAAAAATTGAGGTGTATCTTAAATGTGCACCTTTTTATTTTTTCCTAAAACACACTAAAAAACTGGATGCATTTTAAATTCAAAGGCATTTTATATTAGAAGTAATATGGTACATAATATAGTGTCCTATTTACTTCATGTTGGAAATAAAGTGGTCGGGGCCCAAAATGCAATAAAAGACTGAACAACACTCGGCCTCCATTCACGTGACTGACCTTTACTCAGAGTGCTACTTAACTCTCCAGCATCATCAGTAGGGACCGGATTTTTATGCCCTAATAATCCCTTAAATATGTATGCATTTATGCACGAAAAACTTCCGAAACATGCACATAAAAATTTATATCAAATATTAAAATTGATTTTACATTATTTTAAGACAAACATATCAATATTTAAGTTCATTTTATGTAATCACTGAATGATTCACTTGCAATAAAAAGCTATACTTAAATGCAAATCATGCAACAAAGCCAACATATTTCATTACAAATTTAAAAAACCGATGGTACTCACATTTAGCTCTCTGAACTTTCAACTTCTCTTCTGTTGCAGTTCATAATTACTAAATGTTTTTGGTTTTCCATTATTTCCATAGTTAGTCGCCTCCTATTGTCACGCAAGATGTCCTTATAGCGGGAAAAATTTCTTTCCACCTCACAGGAACTTATGGGTGCATATACAAAAGTCGCTATTTGCTCCACTGTTAGTGATTTTTTACTTGGCAGTTCAGTACGTTTACCAGCTAAAATTTCTTCAATTTCACAAATTTGTTCATATCCTGGATTTTTTTAAAGAATGTCATGTACTTTTTCCTTTACTACTACAACAACTCTTCCAGGAACTGAATTCAATTTGGAAACAGTGGTTGTGAACACACTTAACAACTGATACAAAGTAGTATTGCTATTGCTTGCCTCCAGTGAAGAAATGGCGGATGGAAGATGAGAGAAGTGAGCAGATATATAGGAAAGAATCGTTTCTAGTTCTGCGTTTTTTAGTACATCTTGGGCAATCTGAATTGATTTGGGATCAAATGTATTCACGACATTCCTAACTGTTTCTAAATGTTCGGTATAATAACTCGCTGCACATAGCCACATGCCCCAGTGCGTTAAAACTGGTTCTGGTGGAAGTGCAACACTCAGTGCTACTGCTTTAAAGGCTTCTTTTCTGTATGGCGCTTTAACAAATACCTTCTTCACAGAAGACACCAACTTGTCAACAAGAGGAAAATTTGCACAAATTGCTTCTGCAACATGGTGCAACCCATGGGCAAGGGAAGTCAACCATGTCATATTTGGAAATATAACTTCAAGAGCAGTGCCAGCTTTCATCATATAACTTGCGGCATCAGTCACAAAGAGCAATATGTGCTCATACTGAATGCCATTCGGCCATAGTAAATTCATGGAATTGACAAAAAAATTCGAAACTGCAGAGCTATTTGTGGTTTCAAATTGCTCTACCGCAAGAAGATATGGGGTAGATTGTTTATTCTTATTAAGGGATCCAACTATACAATTTGCAATAAACCGTCCCTCACAATCTTGTGATTCGTCAATTGATACCCACACAAAATTATTTTGAATCTTATCTCTAATGCTTTCAATTGTAAGATCGTAACACTTGCTTCACGTAATTTTTGCGCACAGTAGATTCGTCCAGCATTTTGCACTGCGTATACTTCTCTATGAAGTTTCTCAGAGTAGGATTGGTTAGTTTCCACAGCGGAATATCTNATTCGAAACTGCAGAGCTATTTGTGGTTTCAAATTGCTCTACCGCAAGAAGATATGGGGTAGATTGTTTATTCTTATTAAGGGATCCAACTATACAATTTGCAATAAACCGTCCCTCACAATCTTGTGATTCGTCAATTGATACCCACACAAAATTATTTTGAATCTTATCTCTAATGCTTTCAATTGTAAGATCGTAACACTTGCTTCACGTAATTTTTGCGCACAGTAGATTCGTCCAGCATTTTGCACTGCGTATACTTCTCTATGAAGTTTCTCAGAGTAGGATTGGTTAGTTTCCACAGCGGAATATCTTCCACTAAAAAGGCTTCTCATAAATCAAAGGAAAACTGAAAAACTATTATTAGAAAATTAACTATGCAATTTTTGAACAGGAGCACTTTTTGTGGATTTAATTTTAATATTCTCTTTGTGTATATTAGTGTTCAAATGCTGAAGCACTTGAAAGCGTTTTTCACAACGAACTGTTTTCTCACACGTTAGGCAATAAAGAATTTCCTTATCCATACTTATCATCTCTCCTTCGAACTCCCACTGATACAGCTGTAATTTAGTTTTCTGACTTACTTTCACTTTCGGCATGACTACAGAAAGCTAAACAAGCTTAAATACAGACTAGTCACCACTAATGTGAATGGCCCCCAGCTTCAAATGAAGAAGTGTAACGAACCTCATGGACACTTTGGAAATAAATGAGTGAAGTCCCTTATCAGTTGAATAGTATTACGTTGATAGCGGCTACATGTGAACCCTTCTGACAAATCTCTTCGCGGCCATTTTGATGCTACACGGATGAGGCAAGTTACAAGTAGAGGGATTGAGGAAGTCTCATCCTGGGTATTGCATCAGAAACATGAATCATGACAAAATGTTGAGTCAAATATGGAACATATTGTAATACGGAAAAGAAAAACTGTATACACACGACCATGATTGAAAATTTGAACATACAATTAAAAAATATATATCATACACATTTTAAAAAGGAAATATGCAGTATAAATATAGATCTTCGAAAATATGATACTTAGTCATAAAACAGGCAAAATATGCATTTACATGCACCATCAAACCATGTTGAAAATTTAAGAAATGAAGTAATTTATACATATATCCAAACGAGCATACTTTCTGGTTGCAAGAAAGAAATATGCATTTGCATTAAAATCCGGTCTCTAATCATCAGCCACTATTAATGAAGGATGTGCATCTGCTATACTTTTATAACACTTTACACTAAAGGGTGATGTTGTTTCACATGGTTCCTCAGAGTCACATTGTGTGTAAAGGCCTGAGTGCAGACAGAACACACATATGGTTTTTGACCAGTATGCAGACGTACATGCTGAGTTAAATTCCACTTATCAGAGAAACGACGTTCACAATAAGGGCATACAAAAGGTTTCTCCCCCGTGTGTATTCTCATGTGACGCACCAGGTCCTCCTTCCTCTTGAAACCTTTGCTACACACACTACAGGCCAGGGGACGTTCCCGAGCATGTACTTTTGCATGTGCCATAAGTGTGTCTCGCCAAGTGAAAGCCTTTCCACATTCAGCACATGTGTGTCTCTTCTCTCCCGAGTGAATCATTAAATGACGTGTTAGGTAAAATTTAGTCTTGAATGTCTTACCTGCAGTTAAAAAGATATATGATAAAATTTTAAAACATGTGATATCTATGCTCAACTATTTTGAAAACAGCCGAGATTAGAAAGATTTACAGTACATTTGCTCACTTACCAATACATTGCTATCCTGACACAGATAGTATCCAAATTTCCTTTGATGTCTCCTTCATATAAATAATTAATCTTGTGCTTAACTCTTTCATTACTCTTAGAATACAAAGATTCAGTACTGCCCTATGCTGAACATTTAAATCCACATCTTCACTCTAACTGAATCAAGCCTAGTCCTTAATAAGTTGACAGCGGCTGAGCTGATCAAGAAATTCCCCATATTTTATGAAATCTGAAGGGTTGTTATTGTATTTGCAAGAGCCCACTACTGAATCCTATCCTAAGTCAGGTGAATTCAGACAACATTTCACACCATGTTCCCTTAAGATCCATTGCAACATTAGCCTCCATGTCTGTCTGTCTATCTATCTATCTGTCTGTCTCTCTGTCTATCTATGGTTCTATAACCCTTTGTTGGACCTTGGCCACTATTTCAGTTTCATGATCTTTTTACACAGTTGGTAGGACTCCTTGGATGGGAGATCAACCTATCGCAAGGCCACTACCTACACAAAGGACAGCACAGACACATAATAAACGCACACAGACATCCATGCCTCAAGTGGGATTCAAACCCACAATCACAATGTTTGAGCAAATGAAGACAGAGACCATGCAGCTACTGTGATTGGCCTCCCTTCAGGTGTACACGGGCAAAATTTTGTATGCATTTTTCAATCACGCCCTTGTTAGCCATTCTATTATTACTGTGATGTCTCCATCTTGGTCATTCAATTCACTGATCTGTAAGTATTTTTATCATAAACTCTGCATGTTATCGTTATTCAATTCATGCCAGATGCCTTGCCTATCATGATCTCCTTAACTTAGTTCCTACAGTATGGAAAAATCATCTGATTTTATTCATTTCCACTCATTTGCTTACTCTTTCCAAATATATCCTGTCAAGTAACTCAAATACAAGGAAGTCAAGCATGGCATGACTTCAGACAAAATTATCACATTATGAAATCTCATTTTACTGCACTGTTCATGACATTATTGTACATCATTAGTATAATTATATGAAAATGGTGCCATCTTTGGAAGAAAAATGTTATGACAATTCTTTGTAAAAGAGAAATTATGTCAGAAATACTGTTACACTTTTAAATAAAATCTTCAGTCATAGACAGGGACTATAATTTTACAGGAAACAAGCAGTCCCCATTCATGTGTAATATCTGTAACATATTCATCTGGCATTTTTCTTCTGGAGCAATGCTAATGTTAATACCTGCTACCTACCACAAACATTGCAGAGGAATGGTGATTCATCTGAGTGCAGCCTGAAATGTTTTTTGAGATCACTCTTCTCACGGAATGCCTTTCCACAAACAGAACACAGACATGGTCTCTCTGCAGAATGTGTTTTAACATGTAACGCCAACTTGCGGTCACTATAGAATGCTTTGCCACATTCCTGGTCCCATGAAGGAAAAATTCCAAATTCTTTAGTGTAATATCAGTCATACATACAGAAGTTGGTAACTGATACAATTTTACGTACAGTTAGTTATGAGAATTATGAGAATACCAACATTTATCCACAGTTACACTTATATAAATCTTTATAATCATGTAGCTGAACACACATATACCACAAATTTTAGCATTAGAAGCAGTATTATGATCTTAGAGGCCTGGGCTGCAATGGCGATTAAGAGTTTGTGGATAAAGATTCTGTCAAACTGCATGAATTGTAACTTTACTGTTGTATAACACATAAAAACAAAAAACCATTACTATGTCAATAACTGTTCCAAAGTGTACTAGACACAAATAGCATACATCAATTACATTATACATTAAAAACTGGACATATCAGAATTATCAGTAAAATATTTAGTGGGACTGCACTGGATAGAAAAAGAATAAACAGAAAACAGAGTAGCAAAATGTGATTTTTTAACTGAACAGACAAAATTCTTACGAATCTGTTTCTGAAAAAGAGGTCACAGAAACCAAGAGAACAAAAAGATGAAGAGCCTGCTTGCAGGCTTGAAGAATGAATTGATTGCAACTTCCCTTTAAATTCCAATGATGAAGCCAATGACATTTTGAGTAAAAGAAAAAGATGATCATAAGGAAAGACCAAACCATGAAAAGAATGCTAAGGGAAAGATCAAACTGAAGATTTATTAAGAACAGAACCAAAAAGTATTATGTGACGGTATCACTACCACATATCATTTGATAGAGAATAATTATATTATGCAAGGAAGACAGCAGAATTAAGGGGCTCATGGCAGTGACTTGAAGAGTACTATCTTCTGGCATGAGATGCCATGTAGTCTGGTAGAAGTTCAGCAGCATTTTTAAAGGAACATATACGTAGGTAGGCTGAAAAGTAATGCACACATGCTTGTAGAGCGCGAAAGAGATGACCTTCAGAAGCGCGCCAGGTGGCATGTGGAAGTAACGTTCCCCCTCAATACACATGCGCAGGTTTGATGTCGTTGCGTTCATCCAGTGTATTTCGAGAAGTGGAAGTATGGAGACGTGTTCTAGTGCTATGTCAAAGTGAGTTAAACAGCGTGCTGTTATCGAATTTGTAACTGCTACTAAGATTCATCGTCATTTAAAGGCTGTTTATGGTGATGATGCTGTTGATAGGTCTACTGTAAATCGATGGGTAATAAAATTTCGTGGTCGCGAGCCTGGAAAAGCCATAATTGTTGATGAAACACGCAGCAGATGTCCGATCACTGCCACAGACGATAATCATCGCAAACTCATTGACGATTTGATTCAAAATGATGGGTAAATCACTCAAAAGCGTATCGCAAACCATATTGGAATATCCAAGGAACGTGTCGGCTTCATTATTGAACAATTGGGATACCGTAAAATCTGTGCACGATGGGTACCACGCCGTCTCACAGACGAGAAGAAACAGCGTCGATTGGAATGCTGCGAGCAACTTTTGCAGCGCTACTGTGACGAAGGGGACAACTTTCTTTTGAATATTGTGACAGGGGACAAGTCATGGGTCCATCGTTACGACCCGGAAGAGAAAAGATAGAGCGCTGAATATCGACATCCATCTTCTCCTCAGGCGAAAAAATTCAAAACACAACCATCCGCCAAAAAACTTCTTTTGACTGTGTTTTGGGATGCTCACTGAGTCTCACTGTGACCAATTTTCTGGAACGAGGGGCAATGGTAAATTCTTCTCAGTAGATATAGACTCTAAAACACCTCTGGCGTCGAGTTTATCGTGTTAGAGGCAGCCTGGCGCCAATAATATTGCAACATGACAACGCTCGTCCACACACCTCCTGCGCAACTGAAGAGGCTCTGCGAAACCTGAAGTTTGAACCGATTCCACACCCTTCTTATTCCCCGATCTTGCGCCTTGCAATTTTTATTTTTTTCCTCTACTCAAGAGAGACCTCAAGGGTAATCATTACACCTGGGACGATGAGGTGAAGGCAGCTGTCAAGTCCTGGATTCGAGAAAAGCCGGAAGACTTTTTCTGTGACGGAATGAAAAAACTTGTTACACGTTGGGAGAAATGTGTTAACCTTAACGGTGATTATGTTGAAAAATAAATATATGCTTTTGAAACTTAAGAATTGTACTTTAATGTACTTTTTGCCCGATCTTGCTATTTGTTTTTGTTCGCGCTCTACAAGCATGTGTGCATTACTTTTCAGCCTACCCATGTATATCATACTACCTCCATCATCAGGGTCATAGAATAAGTGAAGCATGCAAGCTTGCCTGGTGTAATGCAAAGGATTATAGCAAAATATGTTTGCCAAGATATCTGACATCAATGTACACAGAATTTCATTAATTACAGCTAGTAAATAATTTTTGCTGTTTGGTGTTTTACGTTGTGATCATACCCCAAATTAATGTGTAGAAGTGTCAATTGTTCATTTATTCACTGTCAATGACGCAGTCACAAAAATACTTTGTTGTTTGGATACTGCCATTCCGAAAAATTATGCACATACAGCCTTAGAGCAACATTTTCCAACACCTCTCCTCTCCATGTATCATTTGTATATATGTGTGTTGTAATTATCTAATGCATGTTACTGAACATAAGATACATGTGCTTGGTACGTAAAATACAGCATACAAATTTAAGTTCACCTACCAAATTAAATGACAAGAACAGGATTTTCATTACACGCAACATGCATTATAGTTTTAATTTCAAATAATACTACAGTATGAAAGTAAATTCATCATTTTAGTTAGCCAATAAAGGTTATGAAAAATAAAATTAAAAGCCTGAAAAAATAATAAAGCTTATGTGAAATACTAATCAGAGGAAAACAATATAGTACAGCAGAATAACTGACGATTACAAATAGAACAGAAATGTGGAACTACAACTACATGGCATGATATCTGCTGTAGCTGCTGCAGCTTGGTCACCCCTCTGTGTTTTTCACACTGTGTTGTCACACTGTACTCAACTTTAACTACATTTTTCTGCAAAAACTGTACAATGGTCAGAATTTTATGACAAGAGTTTCCATTGATATATTGTATGGTAGAGTCCATGGATGCCCATTTCCAGAAACTATGTATATCTCACTTGGATACACAGTGTGTGGCATGCATGGTTGTAGGTTTCAGTTCTGCCTATATCATTGATATCTGTATACATTTTTGTGCAGATAAAATAGATACATAATGGTGAGGTCATATATGTCCATTGGCCCACATGTTTCAACTTTCAAAGCACTAACTGGATTCTGATGAAGCATGGAAATGGAGGTTAAGCAAATTTAATTTTGGTTCATGTCATATGTACAAACACTGGATATCCAAGAAAGACACAGGAAGTTCAAACCAGAACAGAAGTATTTCCCATGCCCTAAAGTAAAAATGACAATGACAATGATTATGATTGTGAGGATATAAATGAAGCCATATTTACAATAAACTCACATTAAACTTGACCAAACTTCTTAGAAACAGATCATCTTAAAGAAGCTATACATGTATATAACACAAAATACAGGCTCAAATTTTATTTTGAACATTCCAGTTTAATAAATATTTAACAAAACAGAAGGAAAAATAATTTCAAACTCCAGGTAGCACAAATAGCTTCGCAGTACTATATTGTAACAGAACTGAATACTGGTGCTTGTTTTCCATTCTGTTCTTGAAGAAAATACAACTGACTGTGACAGTTTAAATATTACACACAGATAATGAAAGTTAAAGTGACTGAATTCAAACATAATATTCATTCAAGATTTAAATATTACATTGCATGAATGATAAAACAGAGGTACTAAAAAGTAGGCAAAGGAGTTCATTTTATTTATGGGAGCTATCCTATTCAGGAATTATAAGTGGGACCACACATTTAATGACATGGAAAAGAAAGAAATGTTAACTGTCCTGCTACAAGATTTGCATCAGCAAAAAGAAAAAACTTCAAGGCGAATGAGGTATGTAAATTTAAAAATATATTTGGACATGTACTATAAATTTGAGCACACAGATACAAGGAACAGGTAAGGTTGTATCTGTGCTCACACATTCTTAACCTCAGCACTAGAGAGAGGGGTTGGCTTCACACTCCAGACACTTGTGGGATGTCGATGTTCACTGAACCAACCACTTGAAGCTATAACAACAAATGTTCATTGTGTTTAGAATGCGTATTACAAACGAGTGGGAGCATGTCTGAAGAATACTGATGGAAACTCCTTTCGTGGTGGCTAGTCCGGTCTGGCAATTATGATGTCAAGTGCAGGCCCTGAAAAGGGCTGTTTTGTCCAGCAGTGTCTTCTTGTAGCAGCCCAATGTCCTCCTCTTCTTGCAGCAGTGACTCTGGCTGGCCACTGGTGCTGCAGTGCATACGCCAGTAGAGTTAGCTGCCTAAGATGCATGTGCTGTTACTGGAGAGTTACGGAGGCAGCAATTTCTTGACGTCAGCATAGCTATGATGGCTGTGACTGATGAAAGACTGATGCTGGCATGTCTGAGGCCCGCAACTTTATACTTACGCTGCTAGGTGGTGCGCGGACCAGTTGGTGATGGAGCTGCGATTATGAGCGCTGATTGGATAGCGCTCGTGTTGGTCTCTAGAGAGCCAGGCTGAAAGCGATGTATGAATACTGCCTGTTTTCCGTGCACCGAGGGAGTTGTCTGTTATGTACTGTGGGAGGTTCCCACACACTTCATCCTTGAGGAAAATGGCTACTGAATAAGAAGCTGGGTGATTCCCAGAAACAGTCTGGACATGATGGCAAAGAGAAAAATCCTTGATTGTGCCTGGAATCCAACTCCAATGCAACAATTAAAGAATTAAGGAGAAAAATGTTGTTTTTACTTTTAAACATGAGATGGAAGCACATTAAAGACTCCACATTCAATCAATTCACACCTATCATCCTAGCATTTTCCTTAGATTTTTTGCTACAGCAATAAATTATGTCTGAGTAGTAAGATATGAAGATCATGACTATGAAAAGTGAAAAGAATACTGTCACAGATTATTTCATTGCACTGCTGACTGTTTGTCAATCTAACCTTCTGTTAAACTTACCGAGCATGAAAATCTTCTTTCTCCTGAATGTACAGCTTGGTGGTCTCGTAGGTACGATTTGCTTGAAAATGATCTGCGACAAACATGGCATGGAAAACCCTTACTGACTGGAAGAATGGGTAAAAATTCAGAGTTGCTTTCAGGTTCATTTTCATCTAGTAAGTCAGTTCTTTGATCATCTCCACCCTCCATCTTCACCTCACATGGAAGGTCTGGATACACAGGAACCTCCTGAAGGACAAAACTGTATTTATAATACATAAACAGAACAAGATACTATGAAGCTGTCTGATGTAAAAAATAATCTACGTGTGTTCCAAGTTGACAAAGTAACTGTGATGCTAAAATAACTTGGTTTATACAGTACACTTTAGTCTGTAGTTTCTGGAAAGTAACTTTTTTAGCATAGTATTCTACCTCTTTCTTTGTATGGCTGCAAAACTTATCTCCCTATGAAAATAAATTCAGGGTGTTATATGAATGAAGTACTGCCGCTATTTATTTATGGTTTATTCAGTGACACTGTCAGTAATTCAGACTGTACAGCACTGGATAATAAATTGCAAAGGATGTGGAAGCAAGCAGACATGGCCTAGTTTGAAATACTATCCTGGCACCTGACTGGAAAGACTGAACAAAACCATAAACAATCTCAGCCAAGACAACTGTTGTCACAATCAATACCTGAACTAAGCAACTCTTGAATACACTTCAGAATTGCTACTGCTTGATTGAAGTTGTTAATTACAATGTATTGAAAGAACTACTTTAAATTATGAGAGAAAAACTAACAAACTGGAGAAAACTACATAATGAGGAGTTTCATAATAAGTACTGTTCAACTAATACTGTTAGAGTGATTAACACTTTACACGGCAGTAGTAACTACATATACCACCTGGTTTAACATTCATTAACTCAGCATGTCACCCATACAATATATATCCAAGCAAAACGCCAGCATCACAGGCAGCACGCCCAGCAAATCAACCCATCTGTTCCCACTGGCTCTCTCTAAGGAACTGGGTAAACAAGTCAGAGTAAAAGAATAGTATTAGGTTGCATCCTGAAAAGGGATGCAGAGATGGGAACATGGAGGAGGGCCCACAATAAATAAAGGAAGGAGAGAAGTCAAGTATGCAGGTTGTAGGCACACAGCAGAGGACAAGAGCAAAAATAGTGAAAGGAAGCTGGGAAAGGAAGGAAATCTTTGGGGTTGATGGGTACCCAGAGAGGTAAGAGTCAGTAGCCAGATAAGGGCAGTATACCCAGACTTGCATAGCCCAGGGAAGAACCCATCTTGAGAATCATGTGAGGCAGGCTTCCTATGATCTTTCAGAGAAAAGACAAGAGGTTTTCATGACTTGCTTAGGCAGAAGCCATCCTCCTTCTTCACACCATTAACATGGAGCTCAATCTCAATCCCTGCCCTAACAATGAGGTGACATTATGCCGGAAAGCCGGAATAGTTCATTGCTAGGCAACGACTCAGTAAAAAGGTTCCCACAAAAATGAACATGCACACAACAATAGAAGGTGAGGTAAACACTCCTCTGTAACAATGGAGCAATTGTTGGAAACAGTGCTTTCTGTTGGGTCTGCTCCAAGGTTATATAATGAGGATCCCAGGCCAACTGAGAGTTAGTTGAGTTGCATGATGTGGCTGTGAAAAGAAGACTTAATTTGTGCTGCAGTTACAGTAAGACTGGTATAAAACGGATCCAGGATGTGACTAGTGAAGACTGAGAACCCCAGTGTGTGTGTAATGATGAAATGTAAAGCATAATTATGAGTCATGTGTTAACATGGTCAATAAATTCAAGATCCAATCCATACCCTGTCTATAGTCACCCCTAAATCATGACAATACGGTCTATAGGTCTGGGTTTGGTGGAAAGGATGTCAATGTTATGGAGCTGGATGTGGCGTCCAAGCTGATGTTGTGCTCTACCATGGCTGACTTGTCACATGTTTTTCTGCACACTGCTTTCTCTGCTTCATGCTGGTTTCTTGCTTGGCTTACTCTCCAACCTTGAAAAGATGGAGGTGTTATGTTCCTCCAAAATACTGACGGACTTTCACCACACTAAACAGCATTTGTACATCCCAGATGACAGAATCCTTCATTGCCGCCACTGTGATAACAGCAAACCCTCATAATCACAATTTGCTTTACCTGGATATCTTTTTGGTCTATTCATCCATATTTCAATATCATTCCTTTCCTTGGTCACAGCAGCGTAATCCTCATTAAATGTAGCCCTAAGAAAAGTTACTAACCCTCAGTTAGATATCAAGCTAGCCAACCTCCTTAATCAATCTAGGTAGAGGGGTACCAGATGAGTAGCCAGTTGGTTTAGTACAGAAGGTGGGGGGACTTTGGTTTAGATCTCCAGTTGAAACAGACATTTTAATATGAGAGCATGCTAGAGCATAATTGACGAGTCTCATGTAAGGAGTGCTTTCAATGGAGCAGTTGTATCCACATACATTGTCATGCGCACTGATTGTGGGGAGGAAGGCAAGTCACATCCTAGCATGTGCACACGTTTGTCACTGAATGTACTGAACCCCATCCCCATGCCTCTACTAGCAATGTGAAGTACCTAATTAATCTGTAGAGATGCTGGATCATTCAAGAAACATTACATACCTAAAATAGTGAGCAATAGCCTGAAGACAGTCATCTAGTCGGCTGAGTTTGTGCTTAGACGATGTGTGCTCTGTTTGTGTGTGGTAAAGAAGAGCAATGAAAAGCAAGCAGTGAGTACATGTGTTGTTACATGCAAGTTAGTAAACACAAGAAGAGACTGCAGGGATGTTCAGTGATAGAACACTGAACTTAGAACAAACTGACATCAAGATCATAAATGACAAATTGTAAACAAGTGCTCCAAAACAGGATAAATATTACAGAATAATAATAACCAAATGAGAGCCCATCCCACTGGATTTATCCCACTCAGTGGGCTGCAGAAAGAATGTTAAATATAAAAATTTTTCCTCTTGGAGAAAGACTCTCAGGAAAATTGTTAGTCTTGCTGTTATGCACATACTGTAGTTCCAAACCAGTTTCTTCCCCCATTCTTTCCCGTATAAGAAAACAACTGAGGCTGTGATGACAATGAGTATGTAAACATTGTAATGAAACACATTTTGAAAGTCACAGTAATGATATGAGTTCAAGAAACTAGAGACATTACATGTAACAACCATAACAACAGAAATTGTTCCTCAAACTTCAGTGCTGATTTTTCTGCATGGACATGTCAATCCATCCATCAGTCCTTTCCTGTTGCCCACACACTTTACTTACTTACTTATGGAGCTGGGCCCTTCTTGAGGAGAAGCCAAATCTGCAGCTACTCAAGAATTTCCTGACATTTTATGGAACCCGAAGGTTCATTACTGTGTTCACAAGATCCCTCCACTGGCCCCTGTCCTGAGCCAGACCAATCCAATCCATACTAAACCCATTCTTTCTCTCTAAGATCCATTTTAATATTGTCCACCCACCTATGCCTTGGTCTTCCCAGTGGTCTTTCCTTCTGGCTTTCCCACCAATATCCTATATGCATTCCTCTTCTCCCCCATTTGTGCTACATGCCCTGCCCACCTCATCCTCCTTCACTTGATCATTCTAATTATACTTGGAGCAGAGTACAAGTTATGAAGCTTCTCATACACAGATATGAAAAAGGAAAAGATAAAAAAATGTTGCTTTTGGATAGGCAACCCCCAGAAAATTTCAATTTTTGCTGTTACATGCATGGATTCAAGCCCACATCAGTTTCCTTCTCCATTATTTCCTCCATAAGAAAAGCAGTGAAACTATGATGACACAGTGAGCATGTGACATTCATAACAAAAAGGAACAAAATCAACCAAGAGGATTACTGTCTTCTGACATGTGCAGCCATGTCATCTAGGTCAGTGTTTCTCAACCACAGGGCCGCAGCCCGGTACCAGGCCCTGGCATCAATTATACCTAGCCCTGGTCATATAAAACCAGAATTTACTGGGCCGCAGCCTCACAAAGGTTGAGAACCACTGATCTACTTCATCACTGATACTAACAGGACTGCATTATGCATTGCATTGTAATGGCTTGATAAACATGTTTCCATAGCAACAGATAATGTAAAAGCATCAACCAAAGACACTGTTGGACATAGTGTTTTCTATGTGGTTTGTGTCAAAACTATATAACCAGATCAAACCATCTGATAGTGGCAGCTGACAGCCAGTGACAGTAAGTGATAGACAGTAGCAAACAGCCAAGGCACAAAGTTGATAGTTGGAGCAATGTGTTAGGTGTAAGACAGTTGCCAGCCGATAGGGGATGTGAGCACGGAAGCAGTACTAGTTAAAAAGTTTTAAAGAGTTCAATAAATCCAATTAACAATCCAAAACCCATGTCCAGTCACTAAATTGAGACAGCTGGTGTCAAAAATGGGATCGGATTGAACTGACTGGATTGGAACCCAAGTGACGGATAATCATGGTGGATGGCCACGAAGAAATGAAAGCAACGGCATGTGCCATCTGGGCGAAGATAGAGGACAATCAAGAAAAGATGGTGACACAAATGAGAGCCTATCAAGAAGAAATGATGGCCATGAGGGAAACCTGGTTAGGAAAGACAGAGGCCAAGTCAGAGCCCAGTCAGGAAAAGATAGAGGCCATACAGAGTACTATGAAGGCGCAACACATGTTAAGAACAGGCATGTGCTTACCACCCTGCAGGGTCAGGCTTCCAATGTTCTACATGAAGTCCATAAGGACTATGAGACTATTTGGGCAACTAAGGACTAATTTTGTGACAGCAACTGGCCAAATGGTACAACAATCTACTTAAAACGCAGACCCAAAACAATGGTTAACCCCTGCAGTAGGTTGCAACTGCCACTGAGCAGATGACCCATCATGCTTTTCCTGCATTATATGAGGACCATGTTAGTAGGATAACGGGCAAGGCCTTCAATGACAGCATAAGAGAACGAGGCATAAGACAGGAGCTACATCTGGGGGTCAAAAGGACACTCACCAAGGCTGGCAGAAAGACCCCAGACTTGGAAGTCCTAAAGCTGGCAGTTGGATCCTCCATCAAGCTGGAGAAAACAAGTGACACAGCACTGTGAAGGAGCCAGGACCTTCCCAAATGGAAGAAATGGTAAAAAGCCTATGGGCTACTCCAGACAAGCAGCCTTAAGGATGGAGCAATGTGACATGATCACATCATCCACTGCATGTAATGGCTTGATAAACACATTTCTGCAGCAACAGATATTCAAGCAACAACCTAAGACACTGCTGGAAATGGTGTTTTCTATGCAGTCTGTGCCAAGGCTATATAAGAAGACCAAACCACCAGCAGCAAGTAATAGCCAGTAGCAGAAGTGGTACAGAAGACAATAATTGGAACAATGGGTTAGGTGAGAAACAGTCGCCAGCCAGTTAAGGGCATGAGCAGGGAAGCAGAGGGCACAGATGGCATCTGTTGCCAGGCAACAACTGGTGAAGACATAATGTGGGCTATAGTGAACTGTTAAGTGCATAGATAAGCGATAGCATTATAATTATTTGCAGTAAATAGTTATAAGTGACCAACAAATCCAGTTAGAAATCCAAACCCTGTGTTTACTCACTAAATTGTGACAATATTTTGAGGGAATGTGCTGCCTTCATTTTCATGGTAGAAGATTAAAAATGGATGAATTGGTAATTAATAAATTTTTTATTTTAATCTCTAAAGAAATACCACAATACCTGAAAAAACATAAAATGTTTAAATGTGCCATATATTTATAAACAGAACATGTTTCAATGAGTGTGTGAAGACTGAGTAAGGGATAAACTAGTATGGCAGACCTACCTCTTCCAACCTGATGATGAAGGCAGCACGTTCCTCCAAAACATCGGTAATGTTCTACCAGACTACACGGTGTCACATCCCAGATGACAGTAATCTTCATAGTCACTGCCATGAGAACCTCAAATCTCCCAAAACCAAATAAGCAGAATAGTAAATTAAATAGACCACCATAAGACAAATAGGAATATTAAAAGCGAATGAGCTGGCAATCAACTTTTAAATTATAACTGATAAATATTGTCATACCTGATAATAATACATATAATGTTGAAACATACTGCATATTGTAAATAAAACAAGATTCAGTAAGTGTGTGAAAACTCATTATGGGATAAACTGGTATGACAGACCTACATTAAATGTTGTTGAGAAATTGTAATTGTAGTTGGTTCAGCTCATATTAAGTCACTTTACTGAAGGGCTAAATGAACTTTTACGCATACCTTCCAAGTCTTTCAACAGATGCTGATGAAACTTTATGTACAACATTTATATGGATTGCTATGTGTAACTTCCCATCCATTCAATTAATCTGAAAAGTAATTTTATTTAAGGGCCTAATTAAAACCGATTTCAATAAAACACCATATAAGATACCTTTTTTTAATATTACCATGTACACGTTTTATTCTGTTTAATTAATTTTAAGAGTTATTTTAGTAAGATCATAACTGAGTATTTACACACCTCTAACCCTCTTTGACACTTCGTTTTAAGAAACACATTACTTCATGCCCTAAATACAGTTTTGTATCTCACCTGAGAAAAAAATATCTTGAAAGAAAGATACAGGGATTTACATAAGACTCATTTTATATCCTATACATTATCCACATACAATTCAAATGACTTTGAGAATAATTCTAGTAAAATAATACCTATTAAGAGCCAGCAACTGCACTAACCAACTTCCTGCTACTGCCCTGTCATCTACCTGATGTTTGCTTAAATTACATGCACCTACACAGAAGACAGACATCATGCATAAATTAATTGTACCTCTTAATGCCATCCCCAAGGATACATTTGCCTGTTCTCCTTGTTATCTTACTTATTGTTTATTTAGTGATACATTCAATAGGATAGGATTAGTAAATAATGAACTGGAAAAGATGTACATCATGTAAAGTAAAAGAAGTACAGGTATCCCTGTACCAGGCCGTGAAGGCCTATTGGGTTGTGAGACGTTGAGGGTCCCACATTATCTAGAGATGTAGATCATGGCCTAATTTAAATACTATCCCAGCATTTGCCTGAAATGACGGAGTAAAACCACAAAAAAAAAAACTAAGCCAGAAGAGCCGGTCTTCAATCTGAAATATGAACCCAGAAACTTCTGAGTACAAACCAGGATAGCTAACCACCTGACCATATACATATGAGCAAAATTGTTTACCCATCATCATTCATTGATGAGAATTCAGCTGCCATTATGGCCTCAAGACTTATAATAAGAGTATATACAAGTCACAGAAATGCAAAGGAAGATGAAAACCTTTTGAGAACTATGGAGGTACCTATATTCATGCATGGACATGAACTTTCCATCTCTAGGTGCACAGAATTTGGTAAATATGTCTCATCCTTGCAATAGGGCAGGCCTGAACACAGTAAATATGGCATCCAATATGGGTTGTAATAAACACTCATATTTGGCATTATTAGCCAAAGATACTTATTTGCCTACAACAATAGCTAAACATTGATCTGCATAACTCAAAGCTGCAAGTGATGCAACATAGCTGGTTTAATCAGAGCCAAGGTTTTAAATTGGTATTAATAAATACACCAACAAATCTGAAGAGTGCTACCAACCTCCACATAATTTTCAGTCAAATCATCAACGAACTTTCTTGTTTCAGCACTTCTTTTTCTGGCTACTGCTGCAACAGCTTCTTTAGCAGCAGCAATTGCTCGTCTATGGATAAAAGGAGTTGTCTGCTTGCTCTTTTTCCTCAGTCTTCTAATAGTATCCTCTTCGCCCTAGATAAATCTTAGATTATCAGTGTGAAAACTGGTGTAGTGAGTAATTTTGCTGTGCATGCAAAACACCTCTGACCAGCTATTTTGCTGAAGGTTTTCTTGGTGTAGTTTTCAAGTCTTTTGAGCAAATGTATACTTATCTTAATATAGGCATGACTGCGACATTTCATGATTTCAGTTCAGACTCTTAATATTACCATATACTTTATAAGCCTAGCAACACCTTTGTTCATGATACAGCAATCGTAGCCACACATGAAGGTTTAGTGATAGTATCAATGAAACTCCAAGCCATCATCAATAAGATCGACGATTGCGCAAAGAAATGGACAATTAAAATAAATCAAAGCAAATCCATGCATATTACATTCACCCAACACAATCAAACCTGCACAACAGTGCAATGGTGATCCACCCCATAAAAATGAAGTGAAATACCTGGGTATGCATCTTGGTAGAAGACTGACATGGGCAAAGCACATCCAAACCAAAAGAAAACAGTTCAACCAAAAGTGACACAAATGCAGTGGCTACTCAGAAGAAGATCAACACTATCAACAGAAAGCAAACTCCTCCTATATAAAGCAGTACTCAAAACCCATATGGACCTATGGAATTCAGCTTTGGGGGACAGCCTCAAATTCCAACATCAAAATCCTCCAGCGCTTTCAATCCAAGACCCCCAATCCATTCTGAATGCATCTTGGTATATAAACAACCATAGGATCCATGAAGATCTACGTGTGAACACAGTGCTCAGTGAAATAAAAAAGTGGAATAGCAAAGACTTAAGGAAATTAGAAAACCACACTAATGCACTAGCAGTGAACCTACTAGATAAGAGTGAAACTACGCACAGACTGAGAAGATACACCATCCTAACTCCACCAGACAGACCTGAGTAAAACCCCACCACAAGAATTAAAATGACACCTAAGTGAACAAAAAGAATAACGAGTATATGAGTTACGACACTGGGCATAACTCATTTACGAGCCAGTACTTATTGAACATGTACATTTATAGCATATTCTGCAGATTATGTATAATAAATATGTGAAGAAAAACTCCATTTTACTATTGTTAAAAAATAATCACTGTCGCATAGTAAATAATGTTCATAGTATAGGCAGAATCACTTACCATGCATGGATTAGAGTTGTAAATATTGATTGGTAACAATAATACATTTGTCTTTTCACACTACTATTGCCTTTTTTTAATTACTACTGGGGCGGGACTAAGTCCCTTGTACTGCAGCCACTTCTGGCCTATTGTACCAGCCCCAGATGATAGGTGAGGGTGATTGTGGTGCAATTGGTGGAATGAAGATTGGCAGGGGAAACTGAAGTACTCAGAGAAAACCTGCCCCAGAGCCACTTTGTCCACCACAAACCCCATTTGACCAGACCCAGGATCGATTTCTAAATATTCAAATACAACTGGGAACATAAACGTTTAAATTCCCTGCTATGCAGATTCCTCCATTTCTCACATGGTACACAATGCATACTTCCAAACATTCTTCCAAGTACTCTGATTTCAGTACCTTGACTTATTTACATTTCATATGTTGAAATATTTTTCACAGTCCTCCCTCTTTTACCACTTTATGAGAAGTGATTCATAGCTATACAAAAAAAAAATGAGGGGAAAGTTCCTGTCTAATTCACTCCTATCTTCAGCATTTTGAAAAGTCAGTTTAAAGATGACAGAGGGCACAATCCCATTCTGTTAACAAAAATTTGTGATCAGCAACAAAGCATTCAAAACATTTCAAAATAAAACAATTAATCAATCAGTTTTCATTTATGTACTTCAGTATCAGTCTGTCCATCAAGCTGCATATCTAGGAAAATAATGACAGTGGAAAAATGCAAGCACAAAAGCTGCTTGGCTTAGGAAGAACTTTACAAAAGAACTGCTAATTTCATTGTTATATGTACAGGTTTGAATCCAAGTCAATTTCTTTCTGCCTTAAGAGTAGTACTGGAGCTATGATGATAATAATAGTGAAACCTCCATTTATGGTTTCCTTGGGGAGCAGTGGATTTGAAAACTAAACTTAGGAATATCTTAAACAAGGAAAAATTAAAACTGATACTACAGACTTGGAATCTTTGATACTGAACTTCAAAGGAGAGAAAAACATTAAACAAAGAAAAAATAAATGGGGGTTCCACTGTATTTTCATGGTACTATGGCAACAAAACATGCTCTGGAGGTCATAAAAATTATATCTGCACAAGTTCAAGAACCTGGACATGTTAAATATGAGAAACTATCACAAACAATAGAAATTATTCCTCAAACTGCAACACAGATGTTTCTGTACAGGCATGTTAGTAATATGTACTACTACAGTCAATAATTTTGTGGGCTCTGGTTTTGTTGCACCATATTACAAAATACTCACATACACTTACACATATCCACATCCTCCCTCAAAACAGTTGCCGTTGGCCGCCAGGTAAGTCTGACAATGTTGATATAGCTGCTGAAAACACTGCTGAAAGATACCTGCAGGAAGGTCCTGTATAGCTTCCCTTGTGACAGTGATAATCTCCTCAGCCGACTGAAATCGACACCCATGTAGCTTTTCTTTTAAGCAGGAAAAAAAAGAGATATAGCATGGTGCGAGATCAGGTGACTATGGAGGGTGTGGCAAAACCTGTTGTTTCCTCTTGGACAAGCACAGAGCGATGTGCAGGAGTGCTGTCATGTAGCAACAGACACTTCTTTCTGCACCAAAGCTCATGATGCTTACGACGAATTAAATTGCACAGACAGCGAAGGATCTCCATGTAGCAGTGCTTGTTTACAGTCACACCTTCTGGGATGAAATCCATGTGAACAATTCCAGATGAGTCAAAAAAGGAGTTCAAGTATTACCTTGCCTTTTGACCTGTCCTGTCACTGTTTCTTCTTTCTTGGCAATGATGGCAATTTCCTAGTGGCCGATGGTCGCTTCAGTTGAGGATTGTACAGAAAACACTATGCTTCATTTCTTGCTATCATCCAGTTGAGAATATCCCATCTTTGTCAGCACTACTGATCAGGTCACCATAAATGCTCGTGATCATCACGTTGGTCTTGCATCAGGACACACGGAACACTGTGCCAGGTAACATCAGACATGTTCAGGTCATCAGACAGAATTCTGTGGCAAGCACCATGGCTAATCCCTCCTCCTGATTCAATTTCACCTATCATTTGGGAGTAGATGGCATGTACCAACGTTGCAACTTCTTGGATCTCGAGTTCAGTTCTGAGCATTCTTAGCTGACCGGTATGCTCACCATCTTCCAAACTGTCTCTCTCCTGTGCAAAACGTTTGTGCCACTTAAACACAGCACTGTGGCCCAAGGCATCTTCAGCATATGCTAGTTTGATTATCTGAAATGTTTCGCTAGTGGATTTGCCTAATTTTTTGCAGAACTTGATGTTTCCTGTTGCTAAAATTGCAACATTCTTAATTTCCGCTGCTCAGGGACAACCACACTTTACAACAGTGACTTTATGTCTAAATATACAGCATACACACAACTGCTTCTTGCTGGGACGAGAGAAGAATGGGGACATGGCACCATCTCATGGCTTCACGTATCTGCTGTAGCCACTACACGGCCAATCTGCAAAATTATTGACTGTAGTATGTAACACTAATATACAACCACATATGTTGTAGTGTGTAGGCCGATTACTATGTAATGATTGCAAACTAACAGGTTCCCATGGCAATGAATCAACATGCAACAGACAGAGAAAATGCTGAAAGCACTGTTTTCTGTGGTCTGTGCTGCAGCTGCTACTACACAATGGCATGGTGAACGCATTTCTATAGCAATGAATCAATACTTAAGAACAGAGGAATTGTTGGAAATGGTGTTTTCTATGAGGTCATTGCCAAGGGATTATATAATGAGGTCACCAACTAAGTGGTGGTCAAGCTTATGACTGTTCAAGTGACTAAAGCTGCCATTGTATCATAAAATATGTAAGATATGCATGATCTGCTCTGTAAAGTCTATACTGACAGATGACTTGTATGTAATGCAAAAGGAAGAATTTACAATAACATGCTACATATGCAAAACGTACACTTGACAAAAGGCCAAGCATTTCATAACAGACAATCCCATCTTCTCGTCAAAGAGGATGTTACATAAGGACTATTACCACAAGAGTTCAGCTGAAAAAAAAATCTCTGCTTGTGGGTCTCAAGGGGCCTGACGACAAGACAAACTGATTGATGGCAAACTGCCAGTCATAAAGCAAGTTTGACTTTGACCTGAACAGGAGTTAGTTTTCTATGGAAGCCTGGAAGAAAAGACTCAGTGCAGTTGAGAGCCAGCAAGAAAGGAAGTGAGCATAGAAGCTGGAGAATCTCCACTGCTAGAAGACTGTTACCAGGAAATGACTAGTGGAGACAGCAACAGACTGAGAACACCAGTGTGTGCGATAGTGATCGTGAAGTGTAGTAACAAGTTGTATAAGTGTGTAATAAATTCAATTACCAATCCAAACCCCATCAACAGTCATTCATACATGTGCCTATATATATAAAATGTGATGGTTAATAAAATATAGTACACACCATGATATTATATGGCACAAAAATTCTACACTATATTGTGACATGTAAATCCATTGTTAAGCAATTCCTATAACTAACACACACACACACACACACACAGTCCAGCAAGCAGCAATAGAACAACATGGTTGTGCAACCAGTTTCTAGGCAATGGCTTGGTAAACACACTTCCACACATGAGCAATGACATCACACCCCAACAGTGCTTAGCTGTCATGTGACTTGTGCTTTTGTGTGGTCTGCAGTAGAACTGTGTTTTCTGCGATGTCTATGCTTTGGCTATATAACATGAGTCCACTTGCAGCTAAGAGAAGTTTAAACCTCTTTATGACCGTTCAAATGACTAAGTATTTGTTGTAGCATAAGATCTGTAAGTTAGGAATGATCTGCTCTGTAAAGCCTGCACTGACAAGAGGACTTGTGTGTAAAGCAAAAGGAAGAGTTTTCGATAACATATTATTTGTGTGAAATATACACTTGACGAAAGGTCGAATGTATTCATAAGATACAGACCCATCTTCTCGTCAGAGGGGATGTTACATAAGGACTATTACCGCAAGAGTTCAGTTGAAAAAAAATCTCTGGTCGTGGGCCTCAAGGGGCCTGATGTCAAGACGAACTGATTGGCGGTAAACTGCCAGTTGCAAAGTAACTCTGACTCCGACTCTGACTAAGAGAATTTTTTAGTTCAGTCCTGACGTTCCATGGTGATTGAACAAGAAATGGCAAGAAGACTTCACAGTGACTTGAAGTGCTAGTTTCTGTATTGAGATACGTTGCTAGGAGACGACTAGTGAAAAACTGAGAATCCTAGTGTGTGCGCGCAAAGGTGAACTGAAAGTGTGTTGAACAGTGACAGCATTATAATCGAGTGTGATTAAGAGAACTTGTAACCAAAGTGCTAGTAAGTCCAATCATCCAATCCAGAACCTGCTATTTTCAACATGTGTACCCTCCTACGTGTCACAATATTTATGGATTTCTCCTGCCATATCTTGCTCTTAAGTACTGTATTAAAAGAAACATCTGAATGTTCAAAAGCTGATGAAAATAAAGGTGTAGCATGATTTAATAATCAGTTATGAAGTCAGTTACCACATCACTGTCAATATGTCCATGTAAAACAACCTATGAAATATTGTTCTACTTTTGCTTCAAAGAATAAGAACCTCTAATGAAATCCACAAGGGCCTCCAGTGACCATCAGTCTGTGTATGACTTATGTAAATGTCTTACATCATTTTCTGAATCCAGATGTTGTCTACTGATGTATTGTCTCAGAGTGGCGTCTGAGTTCTGACACTGCTTCTTAAATTTGTACCAACCATCAACGTGAAGTGCACACTCGTGACAAATTAACTCTGGCAAACCGTCTCCAAGTACTACCTGAAACAGAACCAGGCGTACAAAAGAATCGGTACTATTGCTTAATGTGTTCACTGCACTATAATATAATCTACAAGACGGACACTGGATCATTACGATGGGCATGCAATGACAGAAATAGCACATGGAAATCTAACCTTAACTGACGCACAAGTCATGATTTTCACTGGTAAGGGTGGAACTTCGACGCCAGTTTTATTACCAAAGATTGGCAACATTTCTCCTTCGTGAGTTAGACAAAGTCGGCATATTTCTGAAAGATTTAAATGTATGTTGTACTCGTCGGTCATGTCTAATCTCCTTCCTAATGAAACTAAACATTATCAACAAAGCTCCCAACTGCTTCCATTTTGTACCTATTCAGTACATTCAGTACTGACAACAGGTCATTTTACTGCAGCAAAAAATCCCATTCGGAAAGCTAAGTGAAAGTATAATGGTGATAATTGCGGACGAAATTGCATGCTCTGTAACCAAGTTCGATAATTAAGTAAATTTTCAGATATACACAAATTTTAGGTTGGATATACGATCCGTCAATTAAAAAATGATGCGAATAATACATTGGTGACGTAAAAATACAACAGATAAATCTAAAATATTGGAAACATAAAAAACAAACTCCGTGGTTTTAGTCCGCAAGAGAACTATATCGGCCGAGCAACTTATGCTTATCGGGGAAGTTAGTGCCAACTTTAGCGGATAGAGGGTGTCGCATGGTCAGCGCAACGGATCCCCATGGCCGTTAAAATCGCTTTTCTAGACCGGAGCCACTATTTCCTTGAAATAGCCCTTCAATCAACCGATCAATTTATTTGTTCCAAGAATTATCCTCACGAGGCTGAGTGGACCCCGTTCCAGACCCACTACTTCTCAGAAAATCTGGTAGTGCCGGGAATCGAACACAGACCTCTGGATCTGTATCCAGAAACTCTGACCACTAATCCACAGAGGCAGTCGTTGGAGGCATAATGTGGAGTATTTACTTCATGCAAGAACTGTTGAGCCACAGGAACAGCTGTTGCTAAGTTATACACACTCGCAACAATAAAGCAATGAAGTTATGCAAACTTTTCTATGCAACGGCTTAGGAGAAACACTTGAGTGTAGGCAGTGATGTCACATGACAGTGGACAGCAAGATTTTATTCAAAGACAAATCATATTTCACTAGGACCGGGATCACCAACATTCTCAAAAACATATGTGGTCAGATTAAAATTCTCATGTGATTCAATCTCATCATCAGCAAGAACAAATTTACAGCAACCTGCTGCCTGGAATTTCAGGTGACTGCCTCATAGTCCCACACATTTTACTGGTGTGAACTGATGGCCACAGTTACCTTATCTTTCTTCAAACTTTCTTAAATGCACTACTGAAAGATGTGTCCTTGAATATACATCTCTGCATATGCTTTCAACATAAAGGTGCTCCACCACATTACAGTTATGAAGTGTGTCAGTGTCTGTTCAAAATATATTCTTGGCACTGGATTGGTTGTGCACGTAAAGCCCACTTACCTGGCCTGCATGCTCACCTGATTTGAACCATGTTCGTTTTTCCTGTGGGGATATTTGAAAACAGAAGTTTGTACCGTTACAGTCATTCTAGATAAGAATTATGTTATTGAATTCAACAACTTTTAGGTGAAATAAAGAATACATCCAGCATCTTTGGATGCTTGCAACTTTCTTTTTCACACAGAGCTGAGTTATATGTCTGTGAACATTGAGTCCATTTTGAGCACCTATTATAAGAGAGTAAAAATAAATAGCTCCTTTGTTTATTTTCTTCTTTTACACAATCTATTAAACTAATGAAGTATTGAGGGTGAAAACATGGAAGCTGAATTAGAATACAGTTGTAACTTCTTAAGGATGGTCCTCAGGATACATAGTCTAATGAACTGTTTTACTTATTTTGATGTACACAAATCATCCTGCAAAATATAGTAGGTAATAGTTGGACAGTCTGTATATTATGTTGCAAAAGCAGTGGGCAGGCTACAGACTGGACAACCAAAGAATTTGGTGCAATTCCCAGCAGGGGTAAGATATTCTCTCCTTTTCCAAAACTTCCAGACTGGCTCTGGAGCCCACTCGGCCTATAATATCGATATCAAGAGCTCTTTGTAGGGGTGAGGCTACCAGGGAGTGAACCTGGTCACTAACCTCATTCAAGTGCCCCATGGAGCTTAATTAAGAACTAGACCATTTACTTCTACTCGACCCCATTAAAGGAGGTTGCACACACATACACAAAATTATAAGCCTTGTTTCCATTCTAGAATGTAAACTAATAATAAATTGAGAATTGACAATTGAACATGCTGACCAATAGTTGATCATCATCATTCACCATACTGTGGGCTTAGTCTGTATCAGGATCTAGTAAAGAACATTTTAAATGGAAGAAATTCATTTGGTTTAGTGCTCATTGCATCCTTATTTATTTTAATACACAAATTAACATTTTTAAGAAATGTATTTCTGAGCAACACATAAACCCAGTTATACAACTCAGTACAGTGAATGAATAATATGGGCCTATTGATTTACATCAGTGAATAGATGGTCTACCCCATATGCAAATAAAGTACAGTCACCAGCCTATAATAATTTCTATCCAACATAGGATCTCTTTAACTTATAGGAAATAAGCACCGTAAAGCTAACATAGTGTAACAATTTATCAGAATAATTTATTCTTTATTTATTTTTCTGCTACAGAAGAAGTCTGACATGTACTTGGATCCATCACCGTATATTGAGGTTATGGGAATAGTGGACCTTAAGTACTACAAAATATTGATATAATATTAGGAGTCATGTTCTAATTATGATGTATACTTCACAGAAAATATTCCTGATTTGAGAGGAATTTCATATGAATACATCTCTATAAATCTTGGTAACTTTATACCACCAGCAACAAATGGAAATATATTTTATTAAAATGGTAACAGTATAAAAATATATATACTCTAAGTGTACTAACACAATATCATGCAAACAATAGTTATCTTTAGCAACAACATATCTTCTACACTTAAGAAAAACAATTATATTATTAATATTTCAGTGAAATGGAGTACAATATTTGTGATTGTATGGCATGAAAAGTGTGACATTTGTCAGAAGGTAGCCAGGAGGTGATATTTTACAATATTGTTGTAAGAAGAATCTGTGAGTTGTTTCCCTTAAATATACATACAGGAACTCTAATCAGTATTTATGTTTCAAAAATAGCCATGGAGAATAGCTTGATGGCATGTCTTGCTGTTCTTAGCTAGATGCACCATAAAAAGAGAAAACTCTGTAGCCTGTAGTCCACAAGAAAACTATACCGACTGACCAAGCAACCGCTGCTTGTCAGCGAAGTTAGTGGCAACTTTTGCAGATAGAGAGTGTCACATGGTCAGCGCAACAGATCCCCACAGTCATTAATCTTGGTTTTTGAAATCAGAGCCACTATTTCCTTGAAATAGCTCTTCAATTATCCTCACGAGGCTAACTGGACCCTGTCCCAGAGCCACTACTTCTCAGAAGAATCGAACCCTGGACCTCTGGATCTGTAGCCAGGAACTCTGACCTCTAGACCACAGAGGCAGTCACACCACAGAATATAAAAATGGAAAGAACACTTTTCTGAGTGTGGATTCTACCCTTTAAGTCCCTTTATCCTCTACTGAATATTTCAGCATTGACTGTGTCCTATTTGCTTAACTTTGTTATGTGTTGATCATTCGTGGCTGTTACATATTTTATTTAATTTTGAGTAAAACTATTGCTAACACCCCTTTACAACTGAAGAAAGATCAATAATAGCTGACCTGTTGCATGATATTCAAAACAATGGGAAAGCTCCAAATGAACTGTTCTGAGGCATTCAAGAATTATTTTTCAGAAGGATCCTCCGTCAGATCTGACATGTCTTGCTTGGAAAGAGAAGCTGTTTTAGACAGATAGCATGAAGAATGCTCTTAATTCAGAAGACTGAAAGCTCTAGACAGAAGAAGTGATGAAATCCTCCATCAGTTGAGCAAACACTTACAAAATCATTACAAAAGTGCTTTCCAGAGCTGGAATCATCAAAACTATGTCTGTATCAACACTTGCATAAAGATCTTCACATGAATCTCTACCATCACATGTTTGTGAGTGAGATGTCTCTTGAAGATACAGACTGAAGAATGATAGCTTGTGAGCATTTGCTTCATACATTCTGAACACCGCCTCCCACTATGAAGTCTTATTCAGCACAATATCAACAGTCATTCCAGAGACTTTATGCTCTGGAGTAAAGAAAACTCATACTGTGTTAAAGAAATTGAAACAAGTCCTCCACATGTCATGATCTGGGCAGCAGTGAAGGCAAGATTATTGATAGGACCGTATTATTTTGATGCAACTGTGACACAGCACAGTTGCATGCAGATACTTAATGAATGGCTTGTTCCGCAATTTGATGTTCTCTGTACATAAGATGAATTCTAGTTCTGGCAGGATGATGCATCTCATTACGCTCTTGTGGTGTGTGAATACCTCAATAGAATTTTTCCAGGAAAATTATTTGGCAATACCTGCTCCATTTCACCGGTTACTGTGTACCTCAGACCTCTGAACCTGTGACACTCCACTTTAGGTGGTCATTAATGAGGATGTCTTCAAATAACAACAACAACAACAACAACAACAACAACAACAACAACTGGATAGTTGAAAGGAAAAATGTCTACCACTTTCCAAAACATCACACTTTGCATGTTATGAATTATGAATCATTGTACATGGTGTCACAGAATTCCTTGTGCAGGGAATAGTGGTGTCCACACTGATGTTGATGTTTCATGTAAATTATGACTTATGTTCGTGATGGCAGTACACTACCTTATGAAACTATTCAGTATTTCATTTCCAAATTGAAAGTAATCTAGATATCCTGGAGAGTAAAGGGAGTCTTGGGGCAGACTGTATATACTTGTACTGATGGGAATAAGTTGTAGCAACTGAGTAAGAACGGTTCATAGGATCACATACATGAACAACATAAGTAATGGGCCTTAATTTATGATGAATCTGGCCAGACAAGGAATTAGCTGTACTCATAGATCTTATGGTGATTGTGTTTTAGTGTATGGTGGAATTGTGAGGTACATTACAAACCACAGGTCTGTGTGGCCAGGGCACTAATATATTCTGATTCAGACATCTTTAATTTATCAACAACGTGATACAGTAGATTGTTTCTTATACGAAGACCTGAAAAATGTAAGGAATCCTTATAATTTATTTACGAGATTATTGTCCCTTCCATAAAAGTGAACCTCTGGAAAGCCTGTAGCTTCAGCTGTTTTGCTTATTTTTAATATAGTTAAACATATTTAAAAATTTGTTGTTCCTTGCTTCTAAGTACATATACATATGATCTACAAAATAAGAATTACAGATTTTCTAGCAACACATATTTAGTATGACATTAATCACATAATTAAAACATTCTGCAACATTTTGGAGGGAATACTGCCCTATATAAGAAAATGGGGTAACCTCTTATGTTTAGCATTTAGAGCAGTATTAATCTATGAAAAGGAATATGTCACCATTAAAGCACATTTAAATCTTCCATCTAGACATATAAACTATGAACTGCTTTCATGACTGTCACATAAGAGAAATATATGAATATTGTGATCTAGTGTGAGAAAACAGGAAATTAATAATTTGGCTTTGTAGGTGTGGCACTGTTGCAAATAAAACCCATAAGACTTCTCAGAGTAGTCTTAATGCTGCATCCCATATGGACTTTCAAGCATCAAATATGCTGAAGCTAATTATTTAGAGTATCATATATATGCAGTTAAATTAAAATATTGTCACGATTTTATGGAGAGACTCTAGTTGTAGTTTGGATAGGTAATTGGATTTATTGAACATTTACAGATCATACTACACCTAACTACAGTGCTATCACTAATTCACACACTCTGCAGTTCACTACAGCACACAATAAGACTTCTCAGTCTCCTGTTACTTCACAGGTCTTTACCTATTAACAGCTTCCAACAGCAAACATTCCCCTTCCTCTCATTTCCTGAACTGTCCCCATACCTCAGCTACCAGCTTCACTGCAGCAGTCCTCTAACTAACTCACTTACCAACTAACTCTCTTCACTCAACTGTACTGCACTAACTCAAGTCCAAGTCCAAGTTCCATTGCGACTGACGGTCAGTCAGTCAGAAAACACCACTTCTAACAGTATTTCCACTGTTGCTGACTGGCTGCTGCCTAGCAATGGCTCTAGTACTGTTGCATATTTATGAAGCTGTTGCACAGCAATAGCCTTTGTCTTGTTTGTTTTGAAGTCATTATCTAGCAATGGGTTTACATGCCACAATATGGAAGTTGTTATTATTCCTTCCCCTGGATTATGACCTTAATATAGTGGAGAGGTTTGCATGCCATGATTATCCCAAGAGCTACTCTGTTGGGGCTATAGGCTCCTGGCATTTAGAAAAAGGTAGCCATTGGTAACCCTGGGTTTGGGATTGAGTGTCAGCCTGGCAACATCACTTCATAAAATAAAGCATGTTACAAAACTTAAAAATAAATGCCAGATGGAAAATTTTGGGAAACAGCTAAGGAGTGGTTGTATGATATATGAAAGCTGAATATGAAGAGATGGAGGCAAAAGGTAAGTAACAGAAAAGAATGGACATGTCCCATAGAAAAGGCCAAGGATCTTAGAAGGTCACAGTTTCTAGTAACAAGTAAGTTGTTGTGGTTGTGGTGGTTTTTGTTGTTCATTATATTGAAAAGGTTATCAAGTTTATGGCTATTGAGACATAACACTACATTTTTAAGCAGAAATCCAGAACTGCTTGTGTTGCTAGTAATTCCTGTCTCAATCTACAATTGTATAACCAATGTATCATAAAATCATACTACAAAGCCAGAATATTTTAGCTCCATTTTTATGTATCTTGTGTCAACTGACTGCCCCATGTATTTGGTCCAGCAGACTACTAATAGACAGTTGGTACATGCTAAAGTGTCATGTGACTTAACCAGCAAAAGCTGTGAGTAAGTAATGTTCTTTAGTTGCAGGGTGTCATCATTAATGACAGACACAACCCAGCACCCACTACAAAGCCTCCACTATTCCTGCCAAACTTTCTTTCATGTGGAACTCAGTAGACAGGAATAACAAGCATGACAATTCTGCATATATATGCCATGTGACAGAAGCAACCCAGTGTTGGAAAAATCTGCTTTTATCTACTTCCAGCAGAAATATGTGTAATAATCTATAGAATGGAACATAATTGTGCAATGGCAGCAACAAAGAATGTTTTATCTTCGTAACCATAAAAGCCTAATTATAGCCTAGTATAGCCTAGTAGTTGCAAGTTTGATATTCATCTTATTTAAATAAATGCATAGAGAGAAAAATAGTCATAATTTTACCTTCCCAGGAAATATCATAGTATTTAATTTGATGATCAATGTTATGATTCATGAGATCCTGTAAAATCAAGCTAGACTACATGAATGTTCATGATGTTTTCAGACTAGTTCCCGTCACTGAATATTAATCAGTCAACCTGCAGTTGGCGGAAGCTACCAGCTATACCTGCCAGTTCATCTTCCATGTCGGCAGCATATTTTCCTTTTGGGTTCAGCTCAATTTCCATTTTGTCTAGTGCCTTTATTGCTTCACGTCTCTCCTGGAGGCGCTTCTTGAACTGAGCTGTAAAATTACAATATATATCAGTGTTACTAAACAGCTGTTAAAAGGTCCTTCATTTCCAGTATAGCTACATAGTGAAGATAATACATTGTTTAAGAGACAGAAAATTTCATTGTAAGTTGGATGTCTGACTGTCTGTGGTCCATTATGAACTAGTAGTAGGGACAGTGAAAGGCCAAAAAGATAATCCATGAATCTCAATTGCTAATAACTTGGATTATTTAAATACACTTCCAAGGTCATATTATCTTATAAATTCAGACAGTGGATTAAATAGAGGGCTAGAAGAAAACAACTCTTCATTAATGGCTATATGTGTAGATAAAATCTTGAATTTTGAAAGATGTAGCTAACTACCAAACCAACTAATTCCTAACTCAGTGGCCAGTTTCCTGTTAACGATCTTACCTGAGTGTTTAATAGTTACTGAAATGATAAAAGAAATTATCTGCTGCAGAACCTAAAAGTTAGCCACTGTCATCAATAAAGCCTATCATTTTATTCTATTTGGTCATAGTTCACTGCACAGCCTCATAAGCTGTACCCCTAACGTTCATTTCTAACATTAGTTCTCAGTTTGTGTGAGGCTCTAGATAAATATTTTGTTTAAAATTCATGTTTTCATGTCGTACACATCGGGTTCATTTTGACTTTCTTTATTTAGACATCCTAATAATATTATGTACCTTTTGTATTCCTGTGTCCTATCTAAATCCTAAGAGTGAAATATAAAAAACTATAATTTTACATGCTGTATTATGTAGGTTTTATACACATATATTTCCATCTCAAATGCAACTTATTACCTAATTGCCATTCTATCTTACTACATGTTCCAACCATATATGGCCATCATGAAGTATTGTCTATTTTGCTAAAATAGTTGCACAGTATGTCAAAATTGTATATTGCATGTGAACATGATATTTCCTAATTAAAATTAATTAAGTTTGAAATTAAAATTAATTAACATCTTAATGTTATTTCCATTGTATTCATCGTCCATTCATTTAAAAGATATTTGCTTGAGTTTTTCTTGTTGCTGGACTTATGCATGTGTGAAATGTGGTCCCCCACGTTGAGAGTGGTTGACAACAAAGTGATGAGAAGAACATTTGGATGGCAGAGGAAATAATAGACAGATAGATAAAACCACATAAGGAGGAGCTTCATATTTGAGCTCTTACCAAATATTACTTAGCTAATCAATCATGGGCAGTGAGAAAGTAAGGGCATACAACTCATGTGGGTGAAATTAGAAATGCTTGCAAAATTTTATCTGGAAGGTCTGAAGGGCTGAAATCACTTGGCATACCAAAAATGGTACAACAATAAGATGGAGCTAGAAAAAATTGGGCTACACTGGATTCATCCAACTCATGATGGAAGTCAGTAGTGATCTCTTTTGAAAGCAACACATCAATGAAGCACCATATTCAATAAAAGGAGAAGGATTTCTTGATCAGATGTATGACAACATCTCAAGAAGGCTTCAGTCCATCGAGTTATTTAGGCAAGAATATGAGGTAAAGAATATCTACTGTGAAATCCCTTAATTATGGCATTTTGGGGTTAGATTTCTAATACTAGGCATGCAGTAATAGCTATGAAAAATATTACGCTTCAGTGTGGAAGCAGTAACTCACCAATCATGTCTGCAAGAGGGACTTCTCCCCCATATTCCTTAGGAAGTATTTCTGGGTTCACTGCTTCTTTCAGGTCATCAATGCTTCCATGCAGCTGTAATATGGAAATTTGCATGATTATATGTAAATGTGTTCTTTTAAATGTTAATCTCATACCGTTCCTTATATACAGCAATTAAATGAGGGCTGTCTCTTGATATACTGAAATGTTTGTACAATATTTTGACTTTAGTTATGCTAGTAATATGATAAACTATCGACAATGGTGTATTTTTCAATTCACAATAAAGTGTGTTTTCTTACAAATATCTGCATTTGCCTCTAAGTGCTTCCTTATCATTCTTCTTTCATATAATTCATGGTTCAAGTCCAAAGAATATCTGCAGTATCTGACAATTTATATGTGCAATTTTACCAACATCATAATGCTTTGTAAGATTTGAGGTAAGAAAGCGGTCTTCTGGGATGTGGCCCCGTGTAGATATTGTGTTAACCGACATTTCAGAGGAACTTATCACCTCCATCTTCAGGGTAGAAGAAAAAGAAGAAAATCCACAAGTGAAGAACCAGCGTGAGTAGGTGCAAGTAGGCTAATGTCGAGAATAAACTGAGCTGTATAAGAGCAGGAAGGGAAGGAAGAGGGGCTATATGGGAAATCAGTAGAGAGGAGAAAGGAAGGGTCTTGGGAGGTGCCCGATTTGCATAGCAACCCCAAAGTTTAAGGGATAATGCCCTCCCATTAACCTTTCCTTTATCCCCTGACACAACAATATTCTATACCTGCTCTAGCCTGCTACCTGCTGGCCCACTTCCCCATATGTGCAGGGACAGTAGTGATTTAAAAGAAAATAATTACACAATTTTTCATCATTACATGATATGTAACATAATGTTCAGGTGGTGTATTCAACGTGACTGAAAGATGGATGTCTTTGGAAAAAAGCAGATTAATAAACAAGGACATATACCAAATATTAATATCAACAATTAAGATTATTTTAAAAATTATTATTGTGCCCTGAATATAAATGTAAATTGGTAAAAGTATGCTTCAGCAGCTTAAACATAAGTATGTAAGCGAATTTCCTGGCTCCCCTCACAAAATCCTGGCACCTCACATAACAGATACTACCATTTTATGTCACTAAAAATAACAAACCTCGTTTCTATAAGTTTAATTTGTTTAAAGAGTTCATACAATGGGGTTGATGATACACATAAATCTGAGCCACTTTTAACAGACCTAGTTAAGAGTTTTAAAACTCTGATCAATTTTCTGAAATATGTTAACAACATGTGCACTGTTATATATATTTTTATTATCTGTCACATTGCTTTAATTATAAGTTGCAGGTAAAAGTATTTTATAGGCATCCTGGGACAACGAGATAATAAAACTCTCTTCTTTTATTGTGTGCATTAATTTTAGTTTCATCTTGTATTATTGATAATGGCATTTATATATTGCAGTTTGGTTGTTTTCTAGGATACAGTATTTTTCTCTAGCATCTAATTATTTGTGTAGGGTCAGAAATGCTTTCAATGAATTCAAAACCTTTTATACCCCAATGGTACTTACATGTACCCTGCATCAAAAGTGTGCATAATGCTTTTATACACATATTCTAACGGTGTAAGTCCTTATTCTTAATATTAAACTCTTGCCACTAGATGGCAGGAGCATTTGGTTTGTGTTCGCCCCCCCCCCCATAATGAAGTAATAATAAACATAAATTATCCTTCTGATATCTGGTATATAAAGAGTTAAATTTCATATTCCATGTTCATTCTTCACTCACCATGATTCTATCCTTAAGTTTCTCACTGAGAAGTGCAATAAAAAATTCAAAAACTTTATTGGCATAGTGTGGAACATTGAAGAAGTGTGTTGCTTTATGACGCATGGGTGTAGAATTCTGAAAGTAAGAACCATAGAAATTATTTCTATTTGCTACAAGACAGTGGTACAATCCAGTATTATAGCATCAAGTGAATCTTCAAGTATATTACTCAAATAAAAACAGTCTAAATACAATGTGGTATTATTACATGGATATCAATACAAAAATCTTCAAATAAAGAAACCAATATTACTGTATTAATGTTTGTTCGTTATTTATGTTTGCTACATGTTTTGATCCAGCTGGATCATCACCAGGCAGTTTTCATGATACATCTTGGATTGTGTCCTAATATCGATCCAAGTAGTAATTGTATTGATATAAGCAACATTGGGCACACACGGCAGCATAGTTGGTTGGGGCACTGTGTTGCAAGCTGGAAGGTTGTGGGCAAAGGGGGGTAAGGGCAGCCACTGCATGAGCCTGACAACCTCACCACCATCTGTGAGCCAATTGTCCATAAAATGTGGGAAACCTCAACGTCTCACAACCCTATGGGCCTCCACAGCCTACTACAGGGGTAGTTTTACCTTTTTCTTATAAGTAGCGTTAACAATTTATATGTCTTGTGATGTTACTAACTTGATGTCATAATAATAGTCTTAAGGGTTAAAATGTTAAAACATTTTTCAAATATCTGTCAAAGTGTTAAAATTAATTGCTAATTATTAATTAGATTACATTGGAATTATCTTTTAAGTAAAGGGAATGCCCATGATGATCTGTCATAGTGTAGAGGGTAGTTGAGTTTTTGTATCTTGGGAGTCAGTGCTCTATAGACAGTGCTTGAGGTGGAATGAAAATAGAACCGGGATGGTTTTCCCAAAAAAGATATTGTACATTGCATTTACTGCCAAAAAAGCAACGGGATGCTTTTAAGCCATTTAGAATAGAACCGGGATGCCATCCCGCTGCATCCCGCCCCACCTCAAGCCCTGTCTATAGAGTATGTTAAATATCTGAAGAGTCCAATTGTGAGTAACATATAATCATATAATATTGTGTACTTGATTACTTACATGTTATACTCGCTTTCTGTGGTGTCATGAGTATCTATGGTGGAATTATTCTCTAATAAAAGTGGGTATTTTTAGTGTTTTCTATGAATGTGTTGTCTTACTCTGTTATTTGCTCCAAATTTGATTTCTGTACTTACATGTTTTGGTGTGTATGTTGTATATATTGCATCTTGTGTGGAGGTATCATGTCTTTCTGCTATTGGATATTGTGATTGTTCCTGGTCTATGATTCTGTTAGGACTAACTGACATTTAATATCACAGTGGTTATATTGCTTGGGTCATATGATGTTCAAGGGAAGGGGGGGGGACGTTTGATAGGGGTGGGGGCAGTGTGTGTGTGTGTGTGTGTGTGTGTCTCTCTCTCTCTCTGGAGTTCATATAGGTACATGTTATTGATGTTTGTTTTGAGGTCATTGCCTAGCAATGGGTGTATGGGCCACATTATCTTCATTGTCTCTTTCTGAACAGGAGCTTAATGCAATTTACCTTCATTTTGTATGAATGTAGTAATTTTAAAATATAAGCTTATGGTGATCTTATATATATATAAAACTTAATGTACTATTATTGAAAAGCAAGAATGTAGTTAAATGTCAGAACTCATGACATTAAGGATCAAGAAGCTAATATTGGAAGTTAAAAGTCTTCTTTCTAAAAGCCTCAGTTAGAATGTGGTGTAAGAATTATTAAATGTTATTTAAATTTCACCACAAAGATTCTGCAAAGTTTCATGCAAAAATTTATGCTATTGGCCCCTATCAGAAACATTTTACAGTTTTCTCTACTGTTTCTGGCAGTAAATTAGGAAGGAGAGATTATGTTGAGTTAAAGCAGTCTTATATTCTTGCAGGAAGAAATTACCCAATTTAATCCTATGTTATACATAGGCTGATACTACAAAATATGTCATCAGTCAGATAATTTCAATTTTTATGCTTGAAAGTGGAAGTGAAAATATTTGTTGAGCATTGTTTCAATTTAATATCTATGAAAATGTTGCTAGGTGAACCAAATTAATGAATGAAACATGTTAAGACTGCATATCTGCTATATATAGTATTTCCTCTAGTCAGTTAATTGGTCACCTACAAAAATAAATCTGTATGAGTGGCAGGCCTGCAGCAGGAAAAGAGCATTACAGATATACTATTTCCCAGGACATCAAGCTTAAATTTATGTGGTTCTTTCTGTCACGCAATATCTTATTTTAAAAAGCATATCACTTGGACCCTATCGGTTCATTGTCTGTAATATTTTGGTAGATGATTGTGCTCTCATATACATAGACAGTGTTCATTTCTCCTCATTTTTGCTTCTGGTGGACCCTAATATATTTATCCTGTACCCTTCCCATGTGGAGCTCAGTCTAAATCAGATTTGTGCTTTCTACATTGAAAGTAACTGTAATAATTTCATTACTGTTGACTAAGCACAGACACGATCTTCATGGAACAATTATTATCTAACAGTGTACAAGGAATGCGCATATAATGCAGAAATTAAATTGTACAATAAAGTCAACAAGAATTACAGCTATATCCACTAACAGGAGATAACTTCAGTTTGGAGTAAAAGAATTTGTTTTGTCTTGAAAGCTTCAACCCTGTTGATGAATTTGTAAACTTCACATAATTATTAATAATGTGGAACTGAGAATCTTTGTGAAATAATTATATGGAATTTTTAATTTTTGTAAAAGTTAAGTGTACTGTGTCTTGTACTTTTCTCCTATGTCTTATTTCATGTGTTCATTTGTACACTGATTTGTTTGAAGCTAATCAACCAGGTTCTGTAGAATGAGAATAATCTGACCATCAATCTGCTTTCTGATAACAAACTTCAGATTTGAAAATGGCTTTTTATAAAAAGTGTTCAAAGCATGCATTTTGGAACAAGTTCTTGAGTGTCTACTCTTCTTCAAATTGCTCCATATTAATACAGGAGGTAACCACACTTGTAAGTCAAAGCTTATGTGAGGGAAGAATATTACTAGTTATGTGGGTTTCTCAAGAAATTAGAGCTGAGAATTATTTTCGTTATTGCTGCTGTTGTCATCACTGTTATTGTTGTTGTTGATATCATCACTGTTATTGTTATAAACACATTACAGATGGTCACTCCAGTGTGCCACATGGTTTCTGTGAGATAAAAATAATTAGTTTCAAATGACAAATAAACTTATATACTGTATATATTCTACAGAAACCTAACAAAATCCAACCAACTTTTTTTACAACACAGACATAATGTATGTTAATAAATAAAACTGATAGTGGTTGATAACAAAAATTATTATGCCATGAGAGTGCTAGTAAATAGTGTTGGCATAAAATTAAAGTGGTCTTGGTAGTAGTGCTACATTTGGAAGGGCATAGTGTATGAAAAAAATGTTTAGATTTTAACTAAATATTTTTGCTGAACAAATAAGGAAACAAGCTGCTAAATACTCCTTACACAAAATTCTCTTAGGCAGACATCCTTATGCTTATTGGTACTTTATTCAGAGTTGAGAATTAGTCGTTTTAAGTGTTTTAGATCCCAACATTTATGTGTTCAGTGTAAATTTAATTATATGTGTATTGCTATATAAACTGTTGCATACAAATGAAATTCTTAATAGCCCTGCACCTATGAATTCAGCAGTACATGTTCGCTTGTCATTCATATTCTTATGTTTACATACTGTAAACTTTTATGTTTGTATAGAAACATTTAAATGTGATATGTACTCTGTATTATACTTTAGAGGACAGAATTTATAAATTTTCTTTTACCTGTATACACTGCAAGATCTTGCGTATATCACTCAAAGACCACAAACTTATGTGCCCCATGGTAAGTCCAGACTCGTCATTGCAATAGGAATATCCTCGGATCTGATTCTCTTCATCATCCATGAGACACTCAACTACCAAACTGTGGCACCTGACCATGTCCACTGCTGTATACTTGTAAGGATCAAAGCGTGCTGTAAACACGGAACAGAAGATGTGCCACCAATCTTGAAAAAATTGTTCCTTGTTTTTAGTTCATAGAGTTTTGGCAATGCATTTCTTTACCTCTCTTACCAAAAGGAACATAACTATATTACAGTGTAACATGTGCAGTTTCTCCAAAGAAATTCACTTCAAGTGTCACGCTGCAGTCAGTATGACATGCATGTGAACTTTTAGATAAGCTGTAGGTTCTGAACTAGGACAATGATGTCTCATATTTGATTTTATGGCTTAGGAGAAGGACCTTGGATTTCTTTTTTGTGTTTCATTTTACACGCTGCCAGTACCTAAAATTATGTAATATTGAATGGTAGGGTGATTGGTGAATAATAAATTGAAAAAGATTTGAAAGGAAGTGGTCATAATCTAGTCAAGGCACTGTCTCAGTATCTGCTGGAGGGTTTGAGGAAAACCACAAAATACCTCAAACAGGATAGCTGGCATTCTGGCAGAGATCTGAATTGAACAAAGAGTAGAGAATTAATATGACATCAACCTGCTCAGTTTGGGATTTATGGGAATAAACAATTGTTAAGACCAAACCAACAGCATGTTGAAACTAGAGCAACAAATACACACTAACAAACTGTATTTCTATCTAGATCTGTGATCTTGTGTTCTTTAAATACCAGTAGTTCATGATTTCATTTCTGCTGGTACATAAGTGCTAGTAACCTTCATGTTGTATTTCTTTATTCATGATGGAAAAATTACCATTTAATAATTAGTAACATCAGCATTTATATTTCCTTTCATTAGTTAAATAATTTATGTTGAATATTATTATGTTTCTTCCTGTCTCCAGTTTGTGGAACTGAGTATGCATCTGTCAGATTGGTAAAGAAAATGACACAGTTTTGGTACATATACAAGATAACCACTTATGCTGTGAAAACTTACCAGCACATGTCAAGATGACCTGCCTACCAAAGTCATCTCGCTGTGGAAGAGGCACAATGTATCCCTCCTCAAGGAGCTCTGAGATAGTAGGGTCATCCAGATCTAGTCCTCGGAACCAGTCAGGATAGAGTTGGCGGATGACAAGGTAGCGCTCCAACATTTCCTGTGCCAGTGGAATGCTGAACTTCTTGGTACGCAAGAAACGTAGCAGAAATATGGAATCTGTGGAGATTGATAGCTAAATCATACATACATAATGCAACAACATTTTTTTTTCTAGTTAAATATCATGCTGTTTACTTAATTTCTACAGAAGATTGGTGTAGAACATATATGATTCATAAATCAGATCATATTATCATAGGAATATTATCCATAAGCATTTGTAACCATAAATGTAACCATAAATGTGTGTTCAGTAGACTTAATTGTGTCCTCTCTTTATCCATCAACATTTTGTACAAATGCATAGAAGTATTTCATTTTCACAGTTTAAAAATTACTGAGGTGTTTTCTGTGCGGTCCATGCTGAGGTGTTAGAAGCAGGACAAGTCAAGAGTTTGATTAGTTATGAGACAGTCGCCAGCCTGAAAAAAACGTGAGCACGAAAGTTGAGGGATCTGTGGCTTTGGAAGCCGTTACCAGACAATGACTGATGAAGACACAGCAAACTGAGAAGATTTGACATGTGCTGTAGTGAACTGCAGAGTGTGTGTGAATTAGTGATAGTGCTATAGTTACTTGTACTTACAATTTGTAAGTGTACAATAAATTCAATTACCAAACCAATGGTGCTGCAGCTCAGTTGACAATTCAGTTGTGTGATATTTGCCACACAGTAACAACATGAGCACAGAAACTGAAGAATCTCCATTGTACAGAGCAGTTACCAAGCAATGACTAGTAAAGACACTGTAGGTTGCAGAAGACTTAGCATGTAGTGATTTGTAATGTGCGGAAATCAGTGCTAGTGTTATAGCTATTTGTAGTTACGACCCCTAAGTGGTTAGTAAATCCATTCACCAATCTCAACCCTGTCTATAATCACACACACCCCAAAATCATGACAATACTTTACATGTCTTTTCTATTCATTTTGCTAAATATATAATAGAGTATAATAAAATTCTGTTTAGAAAGAACAGTGCTAGGTAAGTAAGAGTTGGATTTGCCATATTCTTTTTACTGTCAGATATAAGGAACCATAGGCATTGCTTTTCTGTGGAAAACGGTGCTACCAAACTTCATGATTGAGTAGTTAGTATTTGTGTTTCATATTTGGACCCATTTTTAAATCTTGAGTTGGTGACCAGTTATCTGACAGACTTTCTGGGGTGTTCCCCCCCCCCTCAGATCCGTTAGGAAAATGTCAAAATGTTACCTCAAAACTTTGATGACTGAGTAAATATTACAGAATTAAACAAGTTTTATTATTAAATTACACAAATGTCTTTTTAATTCGCTTTGTGGGGGGGTGGAGTGGAAGTGGGTCCACTCGGCACGGCAGCCACTGATTGTCTTATTGTACCTGCCCCTGGTGATAATGATGATGGAGAATTTGGGGGAATGAAGATTGGCAGGGGAAACCGAAGTACTTGGAGAAAACCCACCCCAGCACCACTTTGTCCATCACAAATCCCTCTTGATGAGACACGGGATCGAACCCGGGCCGCCTCTGTGAAAAGCCAATGACTAACCGCTTGAGCTATGGCGCGGCCCTAAACAAATGTTACCTGGTTTTATATTTTTTTATAATTTCTCTTGTGCATTAGATGTTAAACTTTTGTGTTTGGTTTTTATTTTTATCTTGATGTTATGACAGAATACACTGTCATTCACAGCAGATACCCTACATCCTATTATAGCCAGTTACTATTGCATACCTGTGCGACAGCATTTTATATCTGGGTGTTTCTGTATCCATTCCCTCATTTGTTGAATTGCATGCTGGCGGGTGGCGTCATCCTCACGCAATTCTGTCTGTGCCAGAAGGCGAAGCTCATCGTTCAGATGAAATTCTGAACCATCATCATCATCTGGCTTGGGCATGAAGAATGGGGAGTTTTCTCCATCCTCCCCCACACCCATTTTTGTACCTAAAATATACAAAAGGATAATATACTCAATTAAACAAATTGAATTCCATATTTCTGATATTCTATTCTTGATACTGTAGGTTCTTATATGAAAACTAATAGTAGTTGTATTTGAAACCACAACAAGAATGTGGTGTAGGATGGTGGCATCTTCATTTTTTGCAAGAGTGAAAATATGTTTGAAATTCTGTCTCAGTATCGAAGCCAGTTACAATATGTACTAGTGAAGTGTGACTGATTTATTCATTTTTCAATTGGCTATTTAATTACATTGCCTAGCAATCATCATGTTATATGTTATCAATCATACTAATGATAAGTGAAGAATAAAGAGACTGATGAAATATTTGATAGGAGAAACAGGAGAACCTGAAGACAAATGTTCACAATAAGTTGATCATGGAACAACAATCTGTTGGATTCAGGTCTGTATTATGAAGGTGTGTGACAACTGCACAGTTCTTTGGTTAATATGTGGGCTGCAGTGCCATACAGTACATTGGATCTTACCTGAACTTAAAAAATTAGAACTACTTTCATCTACATTACATGGTTTGGTTGTCCCTCTACTTTTTTTGCATATTTCTTGTAAAACCAGGCACTTCAGATCATTGTTTCTTCAAAAATGATTTCACTAACTTATATGAAAATTACACGCATCTAATATTCTGAATTCACTTCACCAGATATATTGGATTGTTAATATCTCTGTCTTCTTGTATACATACTTCTTACCACTGAACATGTAAGGCTCTTCATAAGCTATTTGATGGTACTGTTATCACCAAATGATGTTAATTAGCTTTGAATGATATGCAAGAATGACTGTGTACAGTAAATTGAAAGTTACTGTTACAAAGCAATACTGAAGACTCAATTAGAAATACCAAAGAAAATCCATGAGAAATATGGCTCTTGTAATTGTGGTCCCCATAATATTGCTACAGCCCTCATGCTTTGGGAATGGAATGAAGTTGTCCCAGGATCTCAGTATACAAATCTGTCAGGGATTCACAGAGGAGCAAAAAAAAAAAAGTTTATACTCATTGCTGAACTACAGTAAAATAATATACTGAATATATATCTTAGTTTGATTTGTATCATGGGTTCATACGTTAAAGTTCCCTATTCTAAAACAATTCAGAAAAGCAAGAAGAGTAAAAATTTAGGAGATTAACTTATAGGATTTAACACCGTGCTGTTTGGTAGAATTTCGATGATGTTTTGAAGAAACACACTATCTTCAGTTTCAAGGCAGAGGAGTAAGTTAAGCAAATAGCCAACAAAAGCCGGCTGAAATCCCACATAACACAATTTAATTGACTGCTGTGTGTCTATTGGGAGACCGAGTCCCCTTAGTTTATCTCCTCCTGCATAGAGTTAATGAAAGTAGTGAAATTAGAATGTCAAGTTCTATATTGTCACTTACATGGGTGACTACAGACAAGTTTTGGGTTGCATAACCCCCGTCTATTAAGAATTCGCTGCCCGAGCCACGGGTGTCGATTCGTGACATTTACACAGCAATAGGCCTACACACTACAATATCATTTATCCACGTGACTACATTGTATGGGTCCTCCCATGAAGATGATAAGGCGGTATCCCTTCTTGCGGGTTGGGCGATAGAGCCAAACATTGTCGCCTTCGTGGTAACCCACGCAGCTGGCCAGTTGGTCGTAAAGAGTTTTCATCCGGTCACTGGCCAGCTTTCTGTGTTTGCGGGTACAATTTTTGATGTCGTGTAGATGGTCCACTAAATTATCCGCTTGATCGATTGTGGGTCTTTCCTTGTCGGGAGGGGGGGGGCAAACAACAGGTTGCAGGGAAGTCGGAGTTCTCTTCAGAACACTAGGCTAGCTGGGATGAAGCCCGCTGTGTCGTGAGTGGATGTCCTATAGGCCAGGAGGGAGATGAGCAATCTTGCGCTCCAACCCCTTTGGTGGGATGCGACGACCTTTCGTAGGTGCTCGTCGACAGCTTGGATAAATTGCTTGCCCTACAGTTCGATTGCGGGTGCAGGGGTGTGTTGCGCATCTTGCGCATGTTGCAAACCTCCTGTATCAGATGGGACTCTAAGTTAAGACCCTGATAACTATGTAGCTCCAGCGGTACTCCAAAGAGGCAGAAGATGTTAGTAACTAGCGCTTCCGCTACCGTCGAAGCTTCCTGATTGGGAACGGCGTAGGCTTCAGCCTACTTAGCGAAATAGTCCATAGCGATCAGGAGGTATCGGTTTCCTTGGTCACTCCGTGGGAAGGGCCCTACCACATCGATAGCTATACTTTCGAACGGAGGCCCCGACGTATCTTTGCCAGGCCCTAATCAGGGTCTTGTTGAATGACCTCCCGACAATCCACCGTGTTCTGAGTAGGAGAAGTCGGAGAAGTTTAGTTTTCTAACTAAAATTTTAAATAAAATTAATTTAAAATGTTAAGGTCATCAAATATATTAAAATTCTTCATAAACATAAACTATTCATTAAATTGATTGACAGATCTAGTATGATAGTAATAATGAAGATGCGAACTTGTGGGCTGCAACGCCGTGTGGCTTACTAGAAATTCATCGACATTTTGGAGGCACGTATGGCCCCCATCTTCTGCATCGAAGACTAGGCCAACCAAGAAACCAGCATCAAGCGGCGTTACAACTTACCGTTTCTCACGGTGTTGTCGCTTGCAGAATTCTTATACTTTTTCTTCTACCCTGAAGATGGGGGCGATACGTTCCTCCGAAACGTCGGTTAACACCACATAAACACGGTGTCAAATCCCAGAAGACTGCTTTCTTCATTTACAAGTATCTGCTGATGTTTTCGATATTGACACTGGATGAGTTCGTTTTTTAAGTTACAGTTCTTGGCCTTGTTGACACTGGTGGAGAAAGTTAACAGACTGGCCAGTAATTCTCGTTTTTCTTGTTCCTTACTTTCTCCAGCTTTTGCTTTTCATGTCATTACTTAGATCTCATACCATATATTTTTCTGTGTACTATTATAACATAGCAATCATACGTGTATATCTGATGATCTTTATAATTAAAATCACAAGAAATTAGGTATTTGTGTATACAGATAGCTCGCTATTTGTTCCAGAAACAAATACAATTTTATTCTATCGGCAGATATCAGATAACTCATTAAAGTACAGTTGTTACTATATTACTACCTGCTTTAAGACGAAGAGGTTTTAACCACGGAATATATCTGTGGATTCCATTTGTTTCTAAAAAACATATATTTTCATAAATAACATTAACTGATTAGTCTCTGTATTTCAGACGCGGTGTGTGCTCCAATAACTGAATTTATAAATGTTATTTAGCCCAACTTTAAAAGGGGTCAAATGTACTTCTACAAAAAGGACGAGCGAACAGTACCTAGGAACCTTCAAACCAGGGAAATATTTGTGCCCCCCCCCCATCAACCAAATTGCTCTCTCACTACTTTCCTCGCCTTCCCTTCTCTCTCTTCTTCTCCTTAAAAAGGGGCAGTTTAAATTCATCAAAATTAAACATCTCTACTGTAAAGGCTACCAAATTATTTTTCCCGAATTGTGAAATTCGCCATAAATTCAGAAAATCTAAATTTCGTGGCCCTAGTCTTAAGCCGCTACCTCTAACCATTCTAACGCCTTAATTTTCATATCACTCTTTCAGAAGCACGAGAGGGCGAAGCTAGGGAATCTTCTAACAGAATACTGCTTCCTTTCCCCCCTCCTCCCATAGGCGTCACACTTCTTCCACAACTTTCCATTTTCACCTACTCTTATAATCTTTCTTACCTCTCTCCCTCATGCATAAAAAGGAAGTCTTCACCGAGGCGGACTGACTGAATGACTGTCAGTCGTAAACTGACTTATTTCATACCTCAGAATAATAAATGTAATAGCCTCCAAATATCAACCACGGGTACTTCTGCGTTTTCACAATACACGTGACACCAATCCCCATGAAACCCTTCCAAGATTCCAGTTGCGAACTAATTAGGTGATCGCAAAAGTAAGTCATGTTTTATATTATGACAACATGGCTGGCTCAGTGAAGTGACTGGTTTGGTTTGGATTCTCGACAGAGGTTGCAATTTTTGTCTTCGCCACTATACCGGGGGCTCTTTCCCTGTGGATAAAGCAGCCGGGTTGTGAAGCTGACCACTCATCTCTAACTAGTGCTGAGGTCAAGAAAGTGTGGATCTATATAGCCACTCCCCCATACACCTTCATGTGCTTAATTAGTTAAGCACCGGGACAAATCCAACTTTTTTGTTGAGGGGCTATGTTACAAGCAAGAAGGTCGCGGGTCATTGGATTCTTTTCAATTGACCTAATCCTTCCAGCCGCAATATGACCCTGGGGTCGACTCAGCCTCTAACAGAAATGAGTACCAAGAATTAATTAAATAATTTTCCTGGGGAGTAAAGGGCGGCCGGCACGTAAGGCTGACAACCTTACGGCCATCTTTTTGCTGATTGTCTAGATAATGTGGGACCCTCAACGTCTCACAACCCTATGGGCCTTCACGGCCTCTTACATGGATAGCTTTACTATTTTACTTTTATTACTATTATTATTATTATTATTATTATTATTATTATTATTATTATTATTATTATT